ATCCCGGTTATGGCAGAATTCAGGATCTGCTGTTTACATACACGCATGTTTACAAACAACCATGAGCTCCTTTAGCGTCGGAAGCTCGGGAGGTTCCTAACCAGCGTGAGGAACTGTGAGGTTTCCCACAATCCACTGCACACATCAAACCCCAAACACTGTTGTACAAGTTCTACACTGCAGCAGATTATTAATCAAAATCGTCTGCATAAATAAACTCAACTTTATAACATATAAAACACAACCACTGTAGAGCCACATCATCTTGTTTCACATTATAATGGGTTTAATGCAGCTTTGCCACATTTATTTACATTTTACAGAAATGAAACTTAAAACCACATGGCTCATTTGCATAAACTATAAGCGCTCAGTCACACGGGAGGAGCTCGGAGTAGAGCTGCTGCTCCTCCACGCCGAGAGGAACCAGTTGAGGTGGCTCGGGCATCTGTTTCGGATGCCTCCTGGATGCCTCCCTTGGGAGGTGTTCCGGGCATGTCCCACTGGGAAGAGCAATCGGTTTGAGTCTGGATTAAAAGGACTTTTATTAGTGCAGACTTGTGATGTGAGGAGGAGCCTGTGTGAGCGGTGTTGAAAATACATCGACTTTGAAGCTAGTTTAGGTTTTGTTAGCGGTTAGCTGCTGTAGCTCCCGCACATAAACAGGCTGTTTTCTATTGGTCTATTGTAAAGTGACTATATTGGCCTTATATTTGTTACTGGACCTGCATTGACATGTAAATGAGCTGTGAATAGACGTGTGAATGATCCACATTTATGCATATAATTAATTACCGTGGTGCGCAGCATTTACGGCTAAAGGCTAATAGCGATAGTTTACTAGCTAGGAGTTATGGGTCGGTCGCGATCGAAGCGGCTCTTTGAAGCGAACAACGGGAGCCTGCTTCTTATAGGAAGCCGTGTTTTCTCTTTTTCTCACTTTTTCTCTTCATGCCGCTTGTAGACCTCGTAGTTTGACAGCAGCAGCGGCTGAAAATCAGAAATCTGCGTTCAGAAAACAGGACTAATCTTGGACTTGAGTGCAGGAGAGAGATAGAAACCGAGTCCCGACACTCAGTCCTGGTTCAGTTTTGGTTTAGTCCTCATTGCAACAAAACAATCTCAAGAGTCGCTTGGGAGCCGAAAGAGCCAGCTGCTTTAGTGAGTCGAGCCAAAAGAGCCGGTTCTCCAAAAAAAAAAAAACAAAAAAAACTGGAATACCCATCACTAGCAGCTAGAATGTGATGCAAAAATGCCATTAGGCCAATCTACTGTATGTAAATATGATGTAAAGAGTCAAAATAACAATAAATGTTGCCTAAATAAACCCAATTTAGAATCCACTAGAGCCAAACCTAAGTTTTTTAATCAATTCAAGATTTACTGTGAATTTTTACATCACTAAATATATCGGTGATTATATCGGCTATCGGCAGCTCCAACTCCCATTATATCGGTTTCATATCGGCCACAACAAAATCCATATCGGTCGGGCTCTAGTGATGATGATATTGAGTCTGTTCTGTCGCGTTGGAGATGGTTCATGTTTAACTTTTCAGACATGTGCCGGTTTAGCGCAGCTCTTTATTTAACTAATTTCACTTATGTACAGTTACTTTATTTATGTTGGTCACTTTATTTATGTCACTACTGTTGCGGTGAAAAGACTCGAAAGTGTTTGTCTTTTGGACGCATGTGCACTTAACTTTATGTTGCAGTATTCAGGATACTGCGTTTACATGCCACAGTATCCCAGTTACTATCAGAATATACCAGCTACTGTATCCCAGTTTCTAATAACCAGGATACTGACACTGGGGTACTGTGTAAACATGCACCATGACAAAACCGGGATACTCAAAAAACCTGATCATAACCGGACTACTGATGTGCATGGAAACTCACTCAGAGGGTGAGAAATAGTTTCTGCGAAAGAGAGAAAAAGACGATAGGGAAAAATGCAGAAAAAGTGTAAAGAAAAAACTTCACACTTTATTTAAACGTTATTTAACTACTGCAGGTGATATGTGGGTGAACATGGCAAATATTTTTTGTATTCTCTATTTATTTTAAAGGTGATGTAATATTACAGCTGAGACATTTATTTTTAATTTCTCTGTGTGAAGTCTTTTAATATGCGAAAAAAAAAAACAGGGTAGCTACAGTGAGAGTTCTCCCGAGTGTTGGGAGTGACTTTTTCACTCATGAGATGCAGTGTACTTCCCCGGGACCCAGAGCACACACACCTTACAGAAAATACAAACATGTGAGTCTGGTTCGAGGTGCATGGAGACCAGACTGACATCCCTCTGTTTAAAGTTGACCAAGAAGTTCTTTAGTCGACTTCAGTCCAACTCTGAAGCATTTTTGTCGATCCCAAACCTGATGAAGTTCACAGGAAGCACAGTGGTTTTCTTTAGTTCCGCGGATTGTATAATGTACCTTTCTATTGCACTGGAGAGAAATCTGACAGTTCCATATAATTCCAGAGTAAGACGTTCACACCGAAGGCTCAGCTCTGTCCTCGCGGCTTGTGTCAGTTTAATTGGAAGTCTGGGGAGCTCTGAGTCATTATGTGCCTCTGAGGGGCTTCGGATCTCACTGTGTTGTGAAAGAGAACTGCTTAATTGATGTTGTGATCGAAATAAACCACTGGATTGGGACTAGGCTCTCACTAAACGTTTGTTTGTGGAGGTCTGAGGGGCAGGTGGTTTGATTATATCAGAATATTTGGTTGTTTGCAGAAGACGTAATGTAGATGATGCAGTTTTTGTAGTCTTTTGTTAAAGGTGGGCTACCTACTTAAAAAAAACAACTTCAAGTCAGCGTTAAACGTGCACCGGGTAACACCTCCTTCTGGTTCAGAACACAGCAGTTTGGCTCCTCACTGCGTTTAACATCAACACCCTGTTTTACTTCCCTTCACTGTCTGCCTCTGTGTTTTAGAATCAATTTGAAGATTTTACTGATCACTTTTAAAGCTCGTTTAGGTCTTGAATCAAGTTACATTTCAAGAACTTTGAACCCCGTCCGAGCCTCCTGTAAACCACAGATCCTCAGGCAGGTCCCTGTTCTGTTCCAAGGTTTACGCTCCTGACAAAAGTGATGGAGTGTTTTCAGTCCAGACGTCTCGACTTTGGAAAGACCTGCCTGAGGAGATAAGACTCGACCATCACTATCACCTAAATCACTTCTTCAGACTTCAGACTTGTCTGTTTTTGTGCTGTCTGTTTGCTATTTTTATACTTTTTGTATTGTTCTTTGCTTCTTCTACAGCACTTTGTACAACCTTGTTTTAAAAAGTGCTTTATAAACAAGAACAATCAGAGATAGTAACCTGGTCTCCATGAGGCATCCGTGGGTCAGTTCATCACCACAGAAGCAGTTTATGAGGAGTCCAGCCCATATTACATGATCATTATATCCACAATACAATGTGTGTATGTGTACAGGCCCATGAACATTTGTGTGATGTTGGTCACACATGAGAATGTCTGTGTTTACTAGTGTGTAACCAAAATGTCATTTTTCATGAGTTGTGTGTATGTTAGTTGTGTGACTGTAGATCAGTGTGTCGTGTATCACCAGAAAAACAAGAAATGAAAATTATTTTCATTCCAATTAGAATTTTAACGGCTACACTGAAAGAGAAAGGAACTGTTAGAATTTCAATTTCTATTTGATATAATCAAAACTGAATATTGAAAAGAAAGACTTTATTCTGAGATTTTGAGACACTCCCATTGCTCAAGCTCGATCCTTCGCAGAGTTATGACAAAAAACACATATTTGACCTTGGTTACCTTGACCTTCAAGTGACCTTGACCAGTTTCAACCTGTAACATCCAGTGTACCCCGGTTATGTGTGTGCCAACTTGTGTGATGATTGGGTGAATATTTTAGGCCGCAGATGGTTCAGAAATTGCTGAAATTGCAGATCCTTTATAATGGCGTGACCTTTCAATTGATCCGTGTGACCTCAAGTGAACTCGAATTGTCACCAAACTTTTTTTGTGGCATCGGATATGGGGGCTTGACCCACGTACCAATTTGGTGACAATCGGTTCATAAATGGTAGAATTATTGCAGGTGGACAGACTCACACACACACACACACACACACACAGACACACACAGACACACACAGATACACAGGGTGAATACAAAACCTGGTCAAGGGTCTGCCACTTCCTTGTATCCATGGAGTTGCTACTGCTTTGTTGGAATGTTCCAGAGTATCACATTTAACTGATGAATTAAATTACAGATGTTTTAATTGCTTAAAATACTTTGAATACCATATATTTCTTGCCGTGAGTGTGGGGATGTCTCTCCACAGATCTGACCTGTAACTTAGCCTATCAGTGTGAACTTCTTGTCTCAGTGGAGAAATGGCAAAATGTGGAACATTCCACACATGCAATAACATCTCCATGGAAACAAGCAGTGGCAGGTCCTTGACATGTAAAGTTTTTACAGTCAGTCAAATTACATTCTTGTTTTGGTTGTGATACATTTTTTAACCTATTTCTTTATTTATCTCTTTTTTTTGTAATAATTTCCGGTTCCTTTCCTCCACAACCAGTCATCTGTCTCCTGGACTTGAAAGACGCTATATCTGATTTTTTCTGTCTTTAAAATTTGAAAAAGCTAAACAAACAAACAAACAAACAAAAACAGAACGAGTTAATTTTAAACAATTTGCAGTGGTCCAAAGTTATTCTTTATAAACAGTTTTCACAAATTTCAGACACCAGGGTGGAATTTTACTGTCACAGTCATGCTGCCAACAACAGCTAGCATGCTAACAGTGCACTTCCTGATATAATATAATTAGATGAAGACAGAATAAAGAAGACTTCTACACACCTAATAGAGAAAAACAACATTACAAACAGCTACATAAAAATGAGGAGAGCCACTTTAATGCTCAGTTTTACATTGTGGTTTTATGTCAGATGCCCTTCCAGAGTCATATGACAATCTTGTGTGGGTTGCAGATATGGTGTTGGACCACCAGGAGGCGGCGCACGAGCTGGATGACACCGTGAGGGTGAAAGTTCGCGAGGCTCTGCTGAAGAGACACAAACATCAGAACGAGAAGAAGAAGAACCTGATCCCGATGGTGCGCTCCATCACTGAGGGAGCACGCAAGCAGTCTGAGCCACAGCTGCCAGGTACAAACACCACAGCACACTACGTCCTAAAACACGGCTGATTTACTATTCATACTGTGCAGTGACATCACACTGGGGGGGAGGGGGGTTCTACACGCAGCTCTATTGGTGGAATGTTCAGCAGTTAACATGGTGACACAATGCACACATTAGTGAAAGTGCATTTAGTGAAAAACAAAACAAATCAGTCATTCACAAAAACTCTCAGCATTGATCAGCTGTAATACATAAAATACAAAGATCCATTCCTCTTCCACAAATCTATCAAATTCTTCATCTTCAGTGTCTGAGTTTAACAGTTGGGTGATTTCGGCATCAAGCCCGGATCCCTCTCGTCATTATCCGAGTCAGACTTGTTGCTGTTACTTAGGGTCTGTTTACACGAGAACGCTTGTGGGTAAAAACGACTAAATATTTTATTGAAGTGCCTTTCATTTAGACAGTGACAGCGTTTTTGGGGTTTAAAAAAGAAAAAAACACTCCCTGAAACCACCCTCCAGAGCGGAAAAGTTGAATATGCACTGCTGTAGTCCAGGGGTGTCCAAACTTTTTTCATCAAGGGCCACATATCTGAACACAGACGAAGCAGAGGGTTGATCGAGGGCTGTAGACTGGTGCTCAGTACAGTGAATAATTGAAATATGAGCATGTTTAACACGTTAGAATGAGCCATCCGTCTTTATTCATACTAAGATTCTTAAAACCACATACTAAATATTACATATTAGATTTATTAAGGTAGAAAAAAAACTTGCAGTAAAAAGTTAATTTCTAACTGATGTAAGGTAATTTGGGCCAATTCACCTGGAAACCTGAGGGCCAAGAAAAATTTGTCTGAGGGCCACATTTGGACCACGGACCATAGTTTGGACAAGCCTCCTTAGTGTTTCTGTGTACACTGCTCAAGATGCAAAACTCTGGTCAGATTTGCTCAGGTCGTGTACTCGTTTACGTCACATACATACAGTACACAGAAACCTGGCATGCATACCCAGTCAAATTCCACACACTTTTGCATCACGCAGATTTCCTCCCGAAAACACTCGTCTAAACATGGAATAAAAAGTGAAGACTTAACACCACTTTTGCGTCTTCTGTTCAGACCGTCAACATATAAACGAAGCTTTAGTTGTTCAGTGATGATTCCGACTTTCGTGAAAGCTCGGACGACACTTGAGACTGATCCCTTAGCCTAGACGTCCAGGAGTCATTGGCAGTGACTTACCTGGTGTTGCCTCCCTGTCTTGGTGAATGCGTATTAACTCGAAGCTTGTGACTACGGTCGTCGTAATGCTCCGACAATCCATCAAGCTTCATTCAAGTTCATAGCTGACCACAGTTGTGCTAAAACGTTTTGACAGATTTTTGATTGTCGTGTACCACAAAAAATCGGTTCGAGGTCAGTAAACACAACCAGAATTAATAGATAAGGTGCACCGGATTATAAGGCGCACTGATGATTTTTGAGAAAATTGAAGGATTTTAAGTATGAAGAATACAGTACCTATCCCTGACCTTATTTTGGCATTTTAGTGCATATTTGTTAATGAGTCAGATGCAGGTTATTACGTGATGAGCTCAGCACTGGTGTCCACAGGCGGTACATGAGGAGCTCCTATCAGCCCGACCCTACCTGGCACCACCCGGGCACTGTAATGTCCCACCGTGTCTGGAGAAAAGGGAAACTGCATGATCAAATGTTTGATTGTTGCGGCTGTCAGTCATTGCTCCAGCAAACATCAGCTGCAAAATGTCAGTATTCAATACAAAAACATATTTATTACACTTACTCACTGATACCTGGATAAATATCGTCGCATACAGTTTTAGCCAGTCAGAGGTTGTTGCATGAGTAGATCTGTAACGATAACAGATTTTGTTGGACGATTAATTGACCAAGAATTTATTGCGATAAAGGATAATATTGATATTTTAAGACTAATTTCAACTATTATAATGACCATGGAATAAAAATATAAATAAATAAATAACATTTAACACAGGAACAGAAAAACAACAAAAAGCAACAGGCCTAAATCAAACAGACTTGTTAACACAGGACTAGTCTAATGTGTCTGGCTCACAGCAAGGACTTGTTAACATAAATGAACTTGAATAAACCATTGTTGAACCAAATACAACCAAAGCAATAAATAAAATGGATTATTAAGTCTCTGTAACAAAATTGCCTTTAAAAGTGATTTTAGTCACTGACTTACATTGGAATATTGTGTCTCTCTCTGTGGCTGCTGCTGTGGCCTCATCATTTTGGTCTTGAAGTGTTGGTATGAACCCGTGACACAGGATGTTATTTTGCTGTGAGGGAGCCTCTGTCCTGTCTGGTTTCTTGTCGGTGTCTTGTGGGATTTCAGTGGATTTTGGCCTCTCCTGGGGGCTAGGTTAGTTGTGTTGCTCGGGTTTGGGTTTATCGGCTGTTGGGGTTCGAGACATTTCTTCTTGTCGTTTGCGCTCGCTGCATTTGATGCATGTGGCTGTTGAGACGTATCCTGCTCAGTGCTACCAGTGCTGATTTGGCATCGTGACTTGTTTTGTCACACGGAGATGAACTGTTTTGGTTCTGACAGCGGTGCTTGTGTTGCGGCTTCATGTTCAGCCGCACAGACAGCGGCACTTTCTGCACTCAGGCTGAACGCGCATCCTCTGTGCTGATAAACACAGCGCACGTTAGTTCAAGCATCATTACACTTGTTAAACGAGAGGAGTCAGAGAGCGACAGAAGCTTCTAACATTCATCCTCTTTGAGAGCGAGAGAGAGTGAGGAAAACTAATAAGCTGCAAATAGAATTTATCGTGGCTGGAAAAGTTATGAAGCTCGTTAAAAGTTATCGTACGATGAATTGATTTATTGATTATCGTTACAGGACTATGTATGAGAACAATAAGGAAACATTTAGCTGCCATTTTCTGTTTTTCTGTTATGGTGCAACATGTCAAGAAGTGCTTCACTGTGTTTTTGAACTCCATACACTTTCACTAGAATCATTTGGATCATTTCAGCCCTGCATTTGCTGATCTCTACTGAACTAAAGGTAAAAATAGCTGTTTACTGAATACAACTAAATGACATCACAGGTGGGACTGAGCATTTTGAGCTTTAGAGATGCAGACAGACTCATAATACAGGATTACTCAAAATGTGTGAAAAAGAACACAACTCTGGGTTTGTTTTTGAGGAGGGAACAACATTCTAACATGACTTAAAGCTCACAAGAGTCTGTGTAATATCTGTGATCTTTAAGGTGTTCTGGTTGTGTTGTGTGTCCAGGCAGCACCAGCGCTCCTCCTCAGACCACAGCTCAGAGCACAGAGCACAAAAACGGCTCTGCTCCAGAATCCCAGCCTGATCTGAGTAAGGTAAGAGTCTAATGTCTGTTTTATTACACAGGGGATGTAATGTGTGTGAATGTTTACTTCTAGTCTAGTCAAAATATACAACAAACCACAAAGAAGATATGTGTTCATCATTATTAAATATAAAAACAAAACATAAAAACCTGTAACAGTATGGACCTTATGTATGGACATTTTAAATAAATCATGTCTCTATAGTCTATCTGTGTGCGGCGGGCAGCTCTAATACATATCTGATATGATCTCATGGGTCAAATATAATTATATCACTGGCCAAATTTGGGCCCCGGGCCTGAGTCTGACATGTCTGATTTAAACATTACATGAATCAAATGTGTCATTCTAGTTCATTTTAATGTCATGTGATTAATCCTAATCCAATATAAAGACATGAACATGCAGTAACATGCTCATTTCCATGGTGACGATACAGAAACACGGATTCAGAATGAGTTTCCACTTCACCACGACATGATGTCAGGACTTAGCAGTGCCCATGGGTTTCCTACATGACTTGCTGTTATAGTGCCTGTAGTTACATTAGGATCAGTATTTACATCAGTTAAGTGGCTGATGGTACAAAGTACAAAATACAGGAAGCAGGAAGGTGTGGTCATCCCATTGTATTAGTCTAAAGTATTAGCAGGATGGGGGCAGAGTGTCTAACACTTGCCAAGAAAGTTCTGGATTTAATTCTTAAGTCAGTCTGGGCTCTCCGGTTCCCCCATCAACCCAAAACATCTATAGGTACAATCCTCCAGCTAAGGTCCAGGAGTAGCTCAACATCTGGGGATGGGTCCTGGTGCACGCTCCTGTTTGAAAGTCAAATGCAGAGGACTAATTTCCCTGTGGGGCATTAAAGTGTACCTGAACCTTAACCTTAACCTGGAGGATTTGACCTGTTGCACATGTGTAGGTCCATGAGGACACAGCGGTGCACAGATGACCATGATTCTCTGAGGCAAAGTGAAGCCAAACACCAGTTTAGTCTCAGAAGGTTCACGTCTGGATGTGAGTCTCTGCTTTCTATTAGTGAAGGTTCAACAGTTTCTCTGGTTCAAAGAGCTGTGCACAATACCTGGAAGAGGAAAGTCAGGTTTGGTTTCATTTTTGCAAGAGGAAACTCAAATCTTTTGAACAAGGAAGTCTTTCAAAGTATTGTGGCCAGGCCCTTTTATGTGCTCAGATGAAGCTAATATTTCAGGATGCAGGAACTCACACAATTACTGTTACAAAATCAGCTGTTTGTGCTTTTCTTCAGATAAAGACCAAAGCACAGAGAGTTTAACAAGTCTACAGGAACAGATCTGTGTTGTTGTTTGATGCAGACTGATGCTCTATTATAATCAAACAGGTGCAAGTCCAAGTCACGGCTGAAACTCTCACTTCACAAAAAAATGTCAAAAAAAAAAAAACCCTGCACAAATCACAAAAACCCTCTTGGTTTTCCATAGTGATGCTGAAGAATAGTTCAGAGGATTTGGCTGTGTGCACAGTGGATCTTGGCCAGCTCACTGTTCGAGTCACTACGTCCAGACCAATGACGTCTGTGGAGTTTTTGCAGAGTCACACTAAAATGAATAAATATTTAGATGATTAAGATGATGAAGGGGACAGGGAGCTACAGGTAGATGCCAGTGAAAACATGTTAAATACTTTAAGTTTGTCTCAAAGTGTAAAATATTAAAAGAACAACATACACTGAAGTCTTGTAAGTACCTGGTTACTGGGTCCTGAACACTTGTTGTGTTTCTCTACGATCTTCCAGGTGGATCTGCACTTTATGAAGAAGATCCCAGAGGGTGCAGAGGCGTCTAACGTCCTAGTGGGGGAGCTGGACTTTCTGGAGCGTCCCATCGTGGCGTTTGTTCGTCTGTCTCCTGCTGTGCTGCTCACGGGGCTCACCGAGGTGCCCATCCCAACCAGGTACTACAACTACTAGTGTTTATTTAACCAAGTACTACTACTACAATCATTTACTAAACCAGGTACTACTACTAGGGCTGCCTAAAATAATCACAATCTAATCAAAATAATTTCAATGGACTTGATTAACAAATCTCAAAGGCAGCAATTTCTGAAGTATCATCATTTCATCCACATAAAATCTGCTGTCTTCTTCTGCATTAAACTCTGGAATTTAGTTTTATACAGACATGTTCTGAAATGTGATTCTTGTTTTTAAAATGTGTTTTTGATGATCAGATTTCTTTAATAATAATAATACAGGTTGTCAATATGTGTCAAATATTAGAGATAAACCATTACAGCGATGATATTTGGCCTTTTAGTGTGTGGGTGTATCAGCCTTAAATCCCCAGCACAGGCTGATATTTAACTTTAGACCTGCTCCTAAAAAAAACAAACATGCAAAGCTTCATTTTAGGAGATAACTGAACAAAATGTAACACACAATTCTCTGACAGGTTTGAGGTAAAAAGAGCGGTGGGTGAGTTTGTAGTGAATTTAAACGACTTTGAGCAAAAATTTACAGTATCAGCCCAAAAATATCAGCAGATAAAAAAAACAACATATCATATTTATTATACGTCCTAATGACCTCTTGCATAAAGCTGTGAATTTATATTTTATGCCTTATTTATCGATTTTAACTATTTATATATATTTTTATTTTAACTTGAACATTTACGTTTATATAATTATGTCTTATTTGACATCTGTCTCTTGCTCTTTTTTGCTACTTATTTAGAATGTTTTATTTCTAGGGTTGTAACGGTACAAAAATCACAGTTCAGTATGTACTTCAGTTTTAAGGTCATGGTTTGGTTCATTTTCGGTTCAGTTTGGGAACAAAATTCAAAACCATTTGCTTGTTGTTTATTTGTTTGTTTATTAAACCAACAATTTGTTTTAACATAATGGGAAAATAAAATAAATGCAAAGTGCAGCTTGGTAATACTAATAAGTTCAATAAAATATTCTCAAATAAGCAACAAATGTATGAAATATGATAAAAGATAAATTCCTTGTAAACAGTAAAAACTTTTCAAAGAGTAAAGTGCAGCACTAACAGTTCCAGCATCAACTTTTACTCAATCTTCAATTTTTTGGCCACAAAAAACAACTTTGTCCACAGTGTCTGCAGTAAGTGCAGATCTGCTGCACTGACACTGGGAGGGGGGAGGAGATTCTGTGCTGGTCAAAGGTGAAAGTGAGGACCGGGACGTGATGACCGTATTTTTGTGAGGATTCACAAGGTTCAGAGCAAGCCCCCAGGTTTTAAAATGGCCGACCATTCAAGTCAATGGGCCGAACTCAATGTCGCATGATCCCAGATTCGCCTTTAGCCCGGCGAGGTACTTCAGGCGGCTGTGGGCCGACCGAGCATGTGCAGTAGTGCTTTTTTCTCCTACAGGCACACGCAAATGCACGCGAAGGCACGCAGAGAGCAGGCTCGTGTATCACGTGATCACTTTGAGCAATCAGAGTGAGAGGAGCTAGAGCGAAGCAGAGCGGAGCCAGAGAGAACGATTATAAAGCATTTTTTAAGACAACTGAAAGATTTTGAGCTGAGAAAAAGTTTATGATCTAAAAATAGGTAAAAATCGCCACAAATCCGACATTTTTGAAAGTTGTAGGTGACCTGTCAGACAAACACGAGCAGTTTGTGATTACATTGCCTCTATGAGAAAAATCTTGTCTCAACCCATGGGATTTTTCCGCTGAAGTTCCAGTGAGTGACACTACGTCAACTGGAGGCAGCTACAAGCAGCAACACTGTATCCAGTTATTTTAATAGATCCATGTTTCAGAGGGACATAGTTAAGTTGGGAGGCTATTGTTGTGAAGGCGCCACCTGAACTATAAAGCGCTGCAGGAAACACTGTCACCCTAATCGTGGACCAGTTCCCTCATGAATATTAAAGAGCTGATCCTCTCTGTAGATGCACATGTAGTGGAGGAATGTAAACACACACAAATTGCACAAACTCACTTTTGGCACCAATAAATGAACCTTTACACATGTTGTTAATGTATTTTTAAAAAAAAGTTTCAGAAGAAGTGCTTCCTGGACCTCCAGAGGATAATACACATTAGATCCAAACTCAGTGGTGCTCTTTGGGAAGGGAAGTCATTAAAAAGATGCAAAAAAAAAATAAAAACAAAACCCCAAGGCACTCACTGGTTAAAATAAAATGCATTTATTAATTTGTATTATTTGTATTGTATTATATTGTGATGTGTGATGCTCCTGTGTCCAAATCATTTCCCTTGTGGATCAATCAAGTTTGTCTCAGTCTAATAAGAGTTCTCTGACAGGTTTGTGGTAAAAAGGCCTGTGGAGGAGTTTGTATTTGTATTTAAATGCCAAAATTTGCGCAAAATAGTTAATATTGGCCCAAAAATATCAGCAGAATTTATCGTTTGCTCTGGATTCTAAACACTGTGCTGCCCCAAAGTCCAAAAAGCTGATCACACATGACTGACGTCCCGCTCTTCCTCTCCGTCAGGTTTCTGTTCATCCTCCTGGGGCCTGATGGGAAAGCTCAGCAGTATCATGAAATCGGACGCTCCATGGCGACTATAATGACCGACGAGGTAAGACGCCACCGCCAACTACCCACAATGCACCGCTCTGAGCCTCTAATGAACATAATGAGTTTAGGAGATCCACTTTCACATCGTTCTCCCTACGTCTTTGTTTGCTTCTCCTCTGCCACCCTCCTCTCTCTCTCTCCCTTCTTTTTCTTCTACCCTTCTCTCTCCCTCCCGCCTTCTCTTATTTCCCTCTCTCCTTTTCTGTCTATTCTCCTCTTGCTCTCTCCTTCCTGTCTTCTAATTCTCTCTAAACCTTCTTCACACTGTTGCTCTTTCTGTTTTTCTCTCTTCGTGCTTCATCTCTCTCTTCCTTCTGTTTATTTCACTCTCCTCGCTCCCTTCCTTCTTCTTTTTCTCCTTTTTCTCACCTCTCCTTTCTTTTTCTCTCCACTCTCTCTTTCTCTTTCCTTTTGTCTCTCTTGACTCTCTCTTTCTCTCACTGATCTTCTGTCTCTTCTCCTCCTTTCTCTCTTGTCCTCCTCTCTTCTATTTCTCTCTCTTTTTCTCTGTCTCATTGCCCTCTCTCTTTTCTCTCACCCCATCCTCTCTCCCTCCCTTCTTCTTTTCTGTCCACATTTTCTCTCTCCTCTTCTCTCACTCTCTTCTTCTTTCTCCCTTTCTCTTCAACCTCTCCCGATCATATCTCACTCTATTCCTCCTTTTGCCCTCCTCTTTCTCTTTTGTCTTTTGCTCTCTCTCTCTCTTTCCCTCAACCTCTCTTTCTATCCCTTCTTCTTATTTCTGTCTCTCTCTCTCTCATGTTCTCCTCTTTTCTATTTCTCTCTCTTTTTCTCCATCTTTTTCGTTCTCTTGCCCTCGCTCTTTTCTCTCACCCATCCCTCTCTCTTCCTTCTTCTTTTCTTTCCTCTCTCTGTCCACATTTCTCTCTCCTCTTCTCTCCCTCCCTTCTTCTTCTTCTTTCTGTCTCTTTCTCTTCAACCTCTCCCAATGATCAAACATTTCTTCCCTTTGCCTCGCTCTTTCTCTTTTGTCTTTTGCTCTCTCTCTCTTTCCCTCTACCCCCTCTCTCCCTCTTTCTGTCCCTTCTTCTTATTTCTGTCTCTCTCTGTCTCTCCTCCTCTTCTCTCCCTCCCTTTCTCTTTCTCTCTCTGTCTTCAACTTAACTCTCTCTTTCCCTCCCCCCTCTCCCCGTCTTTCTGTCTCACCTCCCTCCCTTTTTATTTCTGTCTCTCTCTTGCCCTCTTTCCCTCCCTCCTCTCTTTCTTTCTCTTTCTGTCCCTCTGTCTGCACAGATCTTCCATGATGTGGCGTACAAAGCCAAAGACAGGAGCGACTTGTTGGCCGGCATAGACGAGTTTTTGGACCAGGTGACGGTGCTGCCCCCTGGAGAGTGGGACCCGTCCATACGCATCGAGCCGCCCAAGAACGTGCCCTCCCAGGTCTGGAGCACAAACAAACAAAAACAACACTCAAGTCCAAACAGTCTTCAGGTTCAGGCTCAGACACAAAGTTCATGGCGTTCACCCCCATCGAATGCAAACATACACAAAATGCCAATGGTTTGTGCTCCATTTGTGTGGCAAAAATTTTGGTTTGTGCTGCTTTAGTTTTGGAGATATTACCAATTCTTTTATAGGTCAAATTGGGGTCAGCAGCCTCCAGGAAGCTTCAAAATAGCAAAAAATGGAGTCAGTCGTTTGTGCTTCGTTTGTGCTGCAAATAGTTTTGTTTTTGCAATTGTGGTTCTTAAACGGATAGTTCGGATTTTTTGACATAAATCTGTATGGCATCCAAGTGAGCAGTGTCGTGCATCCACACTGACTTACCCTCGTCAGCGTCCGGTGAGCCGAGATACTGGCCGTTTTCGGTGCTGACGAAAGTAGTCTGGCGAGTTGGCTGGGGACAGTAAAATAAAGCGTTTTCTTCTCAAAACAATCTGTGTTCAAAAGAGTGATACAACTGCATCACAAAACCATCTCCCACAAAAAAGTCAGACCTCATAATCGCTTGGCACTATTTTTTTCGTATCACTGGGCGCGGCTGCCACCTGGCAGCCGCGCCTGGTTCACTTTGTTTACTGCTCGGAATGTTAGCAACATGTCTGATTACGACACCGACAATAAACACATTGCCTTTACCACAAAGTCGAGGGGAGATCTTTATGAACCCGAATATACTGATGCCGAATTTCGCCAGATGGAGTTAGAACAGGCAGAGAGAGAAGAGAGACAGAGAAGTGGTACAAGTTGAAGCTGGAGCCGTGAGAGACCGAGTGAGCGACAATCACCATCACGTCATTTATAAACTTGCGAACATAGAGCCTATACTGTGACTGAAGCATGGACGACTAATAGAAACATGGAATCATTCACACGTCCACGTAGCTGCTACCAATAGTGTACGCGACATTTACAATAGTAATAACAGTCGACTTATAAAGTTACGTTTTGTAGAAGCTTCGCTGGTGATATGACACTGAGTGATTTACTGCACACAGCTTTACAGCTGATTCTTGAGCCTGTTCTCTTGTAAACATAGCAGCACTTCTTCGTTCTAACCTGGTTTGGTTTACACATTGAAGCCAAAGGCAAGAAGCCAAAGTTTCCTCAGCGCAAAGTCCGTGACAGGAAACTGGTGAAATGTGTGTGGAGATTCAGCCAGATTTTTTTTGTTACAGAAAATCAAGAGTTCCAACCATTTTTTAGATATATTCTTATGTATCTTATACAAGCTTATACACTTATCACTCTAGCTCTCATGTTAGCTCTCTCGCGTCACGGCGGTCTGCGCATGTAAACACTACCGAACACCTGGCCGCAGCGCGCAGTGATACGAACGGAAAGAAAACAGTGCCAAGCGATTATGAGGTCTGACTTTTTAGGCGATGATGGTTTTGTGATGCAAATGTATCACTCTTTTGAACACATATTGTTTTGAGAAGAAAAACGCTTTATTATACAGTCCCCAGCCAACGGCCAGTATCTTGGTTCACCTGGACGCTATTGTGGGTAAGTCAGTGTGGATGCACGACACTGCTCATGGGGATGACACACAGATTTATGTCAAAAAATCCGAACTATCCCTTTAAGATATTAGCAGGTTTATTTTCATCCCATGTCGTCATCCAGCCGGTTTCACTTTGTGGAAACTGTCCGACCTCACAGTGTTAGGATTCGTTCGCTCGACTGTAGGCGGGTACTTTTTTTATTTAACCACTCGCTGCTGTTTGGTCGTGACGTATGTAATGCTCCAAATCCTGTAGGAAGAAGGACAATAACGTCTTTCCCCTTGATAAAATTCACCAAACATTCTCTTTGTTCCGACTGCCGCTAAAAACATTCTTACCCACTCCACAAAACACCCGAAACAAATCTATTATTACACCAGACTGTCCATGTGAATGTCTGTGTTGATAGAATAATTTTAGAAGTAAAACCAACCTTGTATTTGAAGGATTTATGTCTGAACAGTAGCAGTGAGTCCTTGGCAGCGGTGGACTGATATATAAGAAAATAGTCCCTCAACATGTGACGATTCATGTGATGCAAGGTTAGTTTTATTTAGTTTAGTTTGGAAAGAGACAAGTCTTCATTTGTGCTGCTCTGGTGGGAGGGGCCACGTACAGAGACGCTGGAGACGCTGCTGTGATAAACACCACAGAAAATGACCAATATTTTAATAGAAAATATAATTAAAATATTTTAGTAGAAAATCAGCCGAGGGCCAGATTAAAGGTCTTGGAGGGCCGTATCTGGCCCCCGGGCCATATGTTTGACACCCCTGAAGGGCCCATATCAGGCAAAACTGATGCTGAATGTTAGAGTGTAGAAAAATCACTCCTGGATTTGTATTTACTTAATTCAAGCTTGTTTTATATAAATCTTGTTTTTTATTCATTTTGTTTTATTCATCTTGTACAAGGTTGTCTTTTTTTGAGCTCAAAGAAATCACTGCCTTTCACTCTTACTGTTTGACATCTGGAGAAAGTGAGTGTGGAGCCTTTAAGATGAAACCAAAACATCAAACTAATTAATTATAATACAAGAAAATCATTGCCAAAAATCTCTGGAAATAATGTATGACTGAATGCTTTTGTCCCCATGTTAAAAGCCACACTCTTGCCCACTACAGTGAGTATGTGTGACGTGTAACAGTGAAACGTGTGATGAATAAAACACGTGTGGGTCAAATGTGTTTCAGGAGAAGAGGAAGATGCCCTCAGTGTCTAACGGGACAGTGTGTCCAGTGGAGGAGGAGCATGGAGAGCACCACGGACCAGAGCTGCAGAGGACAGGGAGGTAAACACTGTATATCACATCAGATCTGTTTTACAAGTAGTCTATAGAAGAGAGATGAAGAGGCCGGAGACAGTGTGGAGGTCTGATGCACTTACTTCAGATCACAATGACCAGAGGGACTTGAACATCCAACACACAGCATCATCTTATTCTATTATCCCCCAACAACATCGTAAAAGGCTCTCCAGAGACTCACTGCACTGTACTTTATCTATTCACTCCAGACTCTGCCACAGCCGCCCTGGGGCACACTCACAGACATGTGGCTGCCACTCCAGACCACCACCAGTCACTCATGCACACCACACTCACAAATAACAAGTGTGTGTCTTGCCCAAGGACACAATGGAAGCACATGGTTTGAGAGGTTTGAACAGCAGAGAAGAATCAAACCACAGAGCTTTTTCTGCTCCATTATAGTTCAAAGTTCTTTTTTCGTATGCTACGTATTGGTCATGACCAGTGTTGGGGAGTAACAGATTACAAGTACTGGAGTTATGTATTCAGAGTACAAATTATGAGTAACTGTATTTGGTTACAGTTACTGTTTCAATGAGTGGTAACTGGATTACAATTACTTTGTTAAAATAAATAGATTACACGGTGGTATTTTCCTGTTTTCACATTTTGGGCTATTCCTTTTTTTTTTTTTTTTCCCTTCGGTAATTCCACTCATTGCCGAACACTAAACCAGGACTAAACCAGGTCTAAAACCAGGTCTAAACCCAGGTCTAAACCCAGGTCTAAACCAGGTCTAAAACAGGATTTAACAGGACTAAATCCTGCTGCGTGGACGTGTCTCCTCCTCTTCTATCAATAATATTTTTAATATGTTTAAGTAAAGTCTGGACTTTTCATTATCTTTTATCAGACAAAACATCTTATGTGAAGATCCTCATCTTTGCTTCTCTACAGCAAATCAAGTAATCCAGTATTCAGATTACGTTACTCACTTTAAATAAATTAATGGATTACGTTACAAACTACATTTTGGGGTCTGTAATCTGTAATCTGTAGGGAAATATGTTTTAAAAGTAACCTTCCCAACACTGGTGATGACAATAGAAAGTTAATCAATATGGCACTGAACTGGAGACAAGTCAGTGAGGGCACTAGTTCAAATTACGGGTCATATCTGTGGAGAGGAAAACCTATTCACTGTGAGAAAGCATGTTTTACAAGTTTTCAGTAATAACACATATGTACCACGCTGTACCTTTGAGCTGCTCCAGGTGCATCTGATGAAATGTAACATTCTAATAAAAACTAAACTGCCTTGTTCTTGTGTGTCAGGCTGTTTGGACGTCTGGATAATAAAAATACAAAGTCAAAGTGCCCTGTTCTTCTCCGTGTCTCATGTCGTTTGGAGGTCTTAATAATAATAATAATGATAATAAAAGTCAAAGTGCCCTGTTGTGGTCTGTGTTTCAGGCTGTTCGGAGGCCTCATCCTGGACATTAAGAGGAAGGCTCCGTTTTACCTGAGTGACTTCAGAGATGGTCTGAGTTTGCAGTGTGTGGCCTCCTTCCTGTTCCTGTACTGTGCCTGTATGTCTCCTGTCATCACGTTTGGAGGGCTGCTGGGAGAGGCCACCGAGGGACGCATCGTAAGACAAACACACACTATCACACTTTTATTAGTAACTTAGTGACATGGTCGTTCATGCATGTAGAGTGTACAGCCTTTGGACCTGCGAGGCCTTTACTGAGCTGTGTTTTATACAATAGTACAAGTATTTATGAACAAAACTGCACTATAGACAGTGTTGGGAAGGTTACTTTTAAAATGTATTCCCCGACAGATTACAGATTCCATACCCCAAAATGTAGTTTGGAATGGAATCCATTAAATTATTTAAGGTGAGTAATGTAATCTGAATACTTTGGATTACTTGATTTGCTGTAGAGGAGCAAAGACTAGGATCTTCACATAAGATGTTTTGTCTGTTAAAAGAAAATAAAAAAGCCCAGTCTTTAGTTAAACATATTAAAATATTATTGATAGAAGAGGAGCAGACACGGTCCATGCAGCATGGTTTAGTCCTGTTAAATCCTGTTTTAGACCTGGTTTAGTCCTGCTTTAAACCTGGTTTTAGTCCTGGTTTAGTCCTGGTTTAGACCTGGTTTAGACCTGGTTTAGACCTGGTTTAGTGTCCGGCAATGAGTGGAATTACTGAAAAAAAAGAAAAAAAAAGGGATATAGCCCGAAATGTGAAAACAGGAAAATAAAGCCGTGTAATCTATTTATTTCAACAAAGTAACTGTAATCCAATTACCACTTACTTAAACAGTAACTGTAACTGAATACAGTTACTCATAATTTGTACTCTGAATACTTTAGATTACTTGATTTGCTGTAGAGGAGCATAGACGAGGAAATCTTCAAATAAGATGTTTTGTCTGTTAAAAGAAAATAAAAAGCCCAGACTTTACTGAACCGTATTAAAAATATTATTGATAGAAGAAGAGACACATCCACACAGCATGATTTAGTCCTGTTAAATCCTGTTTTAGTCCTGTTTTAGTCCTGGTTTAGACCTGGTTTAGTCCCAGTTTAGACCTGGTTTAGACCTGGTTTAGACCTGGTTTAGTCCTAGTTTAGACCTGGTTTAGTCCTGGTTTAGACCTGGTTTAGACCTGGTTTAGTCTTGGTTTAGACCTGGTTTAGTCCTGGTTTTAGACCTGGTTTAGACCTGGTTTAGTCCTGGTTTAGACCTGGTTTAGTCTTGGTTTAGACCTGGTTTAGTCCTGTTTTTAGACCTGGTTTAGACCTAGTTTAGACCAGAGTAACTATAATCTAATTACCACTCATTAAAACAGTAACTGTAACTGAATACAGTTACTCATAATTTGTACTCTGATTACGTAACTCCGGTACATGTAATCTGTTACTCCCCAACACTGCCTATAAATACATCAGTGCATTACACATACTGTATCAGTACTTGCACTTAAGACACTTAGACATTCACCTGGCCTCCCACAGATCAAACTCTCCTATAATAGAAACGTCTTCTCCTCAAAACCAACCTACTATACACTAAAGACTAGAACTGAAACAAGCCCAAGAGAATTGCCCGAAATCCAGTTTACCATAACTGTACGAACTCAGGTTTAGCTCATTGGGCTTTTCCAGACGAGGCTCAGGTTCACTGGAGCTGCATGTGTTCACTAACTGTGTTCCACAAAGATACAGTATGTCCTGACTGAAAAGGGAGTGTGACAAAAACTTTCAAAACTATTCCATCTCTCTGTGTGTCTGACCCAAACTGCACTTACAAGACTACACCTGCAAGGGGAGTTCATACAAAAACAACCATTTAACTACAACTAACAATGAATTCATGTAAAAGGCTGACTGAATTCATGATTCACTTCCAGATCCTCAGTTAACTCCCTCTGTATCTTCTCCTCTCTGTTGTTCCATTTAAATCCTAAGAAATTTAAAATGATTGTTGACTAATACTCATTTTTTTATTGACGGATTAAATGACTGAATGATCAAATACCTACAGCCACAGAGAGAGTCCACATAAAGTTCACGCAGAGAGTCCACACAGAGAATCCACAGAGAGAGTCAAAAGAAATCCACAGAGTCTACACAGACTCCACATAAAGTCCACACAGAGTCCAAATAGAGACCATATCTCCTCAAAAGATTAAATACAACTTTTCAGAACAAAACAAACCATTTCCTCATTGACAACATTATATTGGACTTCTCAAACCTGTTGTTGTTTTGCAGAGTGCCATCGAGTCTCTGCTGGGAGCTTCTATGACCGGAGTGGCCTACTCTCTGTTTGCTGGTCAGCCCCTCACCATCCTGGGCAGCACCGGGCCAGTCCTGGTCTTTGAAAAGATCCTCTTCAGATTCTGCAAGTACGTACAACTCAAATCCACTTTCAATTCAGCAAATAATTAAAGAGACAAACAGATGAAAAACCTACACGAGAAGCTTTTAAATGTCATGAAAGTGAGTTTAAACTGTTATTGTTTTGTGTTGTAGGGACTATGGCCTGTCCTACCTGTCCCTGCGCACTTGTATCGGCCTGTGGACAGCGTTCCTGTGCTTGTTGCTAGTAGCGACAGATGCCAGCTCTCTGGTCTGTTACATCACGCGGTTCACGGAGGAGGCCTTCGCGGCGCTCATCTGTCTCATCTTCATCTACGAGGCTCTGGAGAAGCTGTTCCACCTCAGAGAGATCTACCCTTTTAACGCACACAGCGACCTGGACAAGCTCACACTGGCATAGTGAGTCTGAATTTATTACATAAAACTGACTCTTAGGAGCTTTAAGCCTGGTTATGATGTTGTGACCTCCTCAAAAACAGACCTGGAGATGTGTTTTATTTCATTCACACTTTATTAGTCTGTCTACATTTTCAAAGTTCCACCTTTTACCTTAAGTTCAATAAAGATCAGCAATTCCAAGGCTTAAATTATCCAAATGTCTCTAGTGAAGGTATGTGGAGTTTAAAAACACAGTGGAGCGCTTCCACTTAAAACAAAACACAACTCCAGGTCTGTTTGTGATAAGGAACCATTTTAATACAGAAAATAGTGTCATACGGGCCATTTAAACCTTACAAGAGTGAATTCTGCGTAATATAGGACCTGAATATAGTACCGGAATATCACGTGGTATTAATGATTTTGGAAAATGTTTCTCACGAGCATTCTGTTAACAAGGGCCAAGTATCATTAAGAAGCTGCCGATACGATACGTACCTCGATACATAGGCCACAATGCGTACGATACATACATATGATACGATACGATACACACGATGCCATACGATGCGATACATACCTCGATACATAAGCCACGATGCGATATGTACCTCGATACATAGGCCATGATGTGATACATACCTTGATACATAAGCCACGATGCGATACATGCGTCGATATATAGGCCACGATGCAATATGTACCTCAATACATAGGCCAAGATGTGATACATACATATCAATATACCTCGATACATAGGCCACGATACGACACAAACCTCGATATGTAGGCTACAATGTGATACATACCTCAATACGTAGACCATGATATGATAAATACATTGATACATAGGCCATGGTGCGATACATACCTCGATACATAGGCCTCGATACAATACATTACACAGTACAGTGAGCTTATGATTCAATATATTTCAAATCAATTCGATAAGGTTCAATAAAAAATAAAGGCTAAATCATGTCTGTGATACTAAAAGTCTTTGTTAAACCACTTCTTGTGAAAAGTTCATATGAAACACAAACATTTTAATCATCAAAACATTGAACATGTCAAATGTAAAAAAGTTTCTTCCTCTAAACAAGCACCAAAACTCTAACAAAATAATTTTGTAAAATATACCAAAAAAATATTCTTAGTGATATATGGATACAGCAGCCCACGATATTGATACTGTATCATCACATTAAACGATACGATATTTTGATATTTTTGCACATGTCTACTGTTCACCTCATCCAGGAGCGTTCGAGGGCACACACTCATTTTCTTCTACTCCTTCCTCTACTCTTTCTTCTTTTTCTCCTTCTTCTCCTCCTCCTCCTCCTTCTTCTTCTTGGTCTTGTTTTTGTTATTCTTGTTCTTTTTCTTCTCCTCCTCCTTCTCCCTTCTTCTTCTTCTCCTCTTTGTTCTTCTTCTCCACCACCTCCTTCTCCTCCTTCTACTTCTTCTCCTCCTTCTTGTTCTTGTTCTTCTCCACCTCCTTTTTCTCCTCCTCGTCCTCCTTCTTCATCTTCTCCTTCTTCTCATCCTCCTCCTCCTTTTTCTCCTCCTTCTCCCTTTTCCTCTCCTCCTTTTCTACTTCTCCTCCTCCTCCTACTTTTTCTTCTTCTCCTTCTCCTTTCTCTTCCTCCTCTTCCTCCTCCTCCTCTTCTTCTCCTTCTTCTTTCTCCTCCTCCTCTTCCTCCTCCTCCTCTTCTTCTCCTTCTACTTCCTCCTCCTCCTCCTCTTCCTCCTCCTCCTCTTCTTCTCCTTCTACTTTCTCCTCCTCCTCCTCCTCCTCCTCCTCCTCTTCCTCCTCTTCCTCCTCCTCCTCCTCTTCCTCCTCCAACTCCTCCTTTTCCTCCTCCTCTTCCTCCTCCTCTTCTTCTCCTTCTTCTTTCTCTCCTCCTCCTCCTCTTCCTCCTCTTCCTCGTCTATCTTGTGTGTGATCGGGGGTAAATCCTCGCACTGATCGATCCACATTTTGATTCAGTTACACTTAGTTAAATTCATATTCATTTTCTCAACATAAACATTACACACTTTTACTTACTCACGTTCAATACATGTTCAGTGCATTTTCCTCTTTCCTCTGAAGCATCAGTTTTGCTCCAAACCACAGGACCGAGTCTCGAAAAAAACTTAAGCTGATTGAATATCAAGATGAAATTAAAGCAGAACCAAGAAACATTTAAACATTTCCTTGTGGTGGTTAAGTGCATATTTTTTGGAACATGGCCGAGTTTATGTACGACTTGGTAATGTTATGTTTGTTGTACGTGATTATACTGTCTTATTTTAATAGAAAAGAAAAGAAAAAGAGAAAAAAACAAATGCATTTAAGTTGTGTTTTTAGCATTGTGTAACTTTTCTTTTGGAGGCTCCGTCAAACACTTTTCTAAAGGGAGATGTTAGTGCTTTGTCTGGAACATTTCAAAGTATGATATTACACCTTTATATCTTCATGGAAACCAAACTAAACCACGTTACCAAGTTACAGGTCAGATCTGTGGACTTGACTCAGACTTGATACTTGATGCTTCTTCTAAATATATTTATATGTTTTTAGAAAATACTTTTGTCTTTACAGTTGATAAATGTGGTGCTTAATTTTAAAAGAAACAAACTGGAACATGTCCCTCTCACTTCTGTTACTTTGGATGTAACTGAAGTACTGTGATGTTGTATCCTCAAATGTACTACAGTAATATACAGTACAATACAGTAAAACAGAGGGAACTACACAGAACATGATCCTTCATGACAAATAACAGTTATTAAGCACTTTTAAATCTTTATTCTTTCTATTCTGACCATAAACATCTTGTCAAGACATTTAAAAAGGAAAAAAAAAATTTGGATTTCTACAACTCTTATATATACTCATATATAAATATACCAAGTACAATTTAGCTTAAAAATCATATTACTGTATTTTCTGGGTTATTAGACACACTCTTAAGCCTCCAACCTCATCAAAAACGACCCAGTACCACTTCAGTAAACTACAAATCCGCACCACCCGCAGAACACGCAAACACACACGGAGCAGACAACGACCGCACAGCGAAAAACACCCACAGACACACTCATCACTCCACGCCGACGAGGAACGGAACAGAGGAACGAACTGAAAAAGCGAGTGCAATGTGCCACTTCTAGACACAACTGAACAACTGAGTCACTGCGAACACGCCGACAATCCAGCGGTCCCAGACAGCACCCTCCCTACACGCAGTGTTGGGGAGTAACAGATTACATGTACTGGAGTTATGTAATCAGAGTACAAATTATGAGTAACTGTATTCAGTTACAGTTACTGTTTCAATGAGTGGTAATTGGATTACAGTTACTTTGTTGAAATAAATGGATGACATGGCGGTGATTTCCTATTTTCACATTTTGGGCTCTATTCTATTTTTTAATTTTATTTTGGTAATTCTACTCATTGCTGGAAACCCAAACAGAACGCGCTCAATAAGAGCTGTGTAAACGTCTTGTTAACGGTAGTGCCGTCAGTCACACAATGGACGAGATCATTAATAATCATCATTGTTAATAATCTGATTCTGCATCATTTTCAGTAAAAAACATCCAATATTACAGATTTTTACTGGGCTGACACCTTTATATTTGTACTGAAAGTGAGTTGTAAATAAACATTATGACACCTAACAGTAGGTGGACATACTTTAAGGCAGCAGTGATCTCATGTAGAAAGCATTTCTCTATAAATAATATTTTTTAATATGGTTAAGGAAAGATTGGACTTTTTTCTTTTTTTTTTAGCACACAAAACCTCTTATGTTAAGATCCTTATCTTTGCTGCTGTACAACAAACAAATGTCTGTTCATGGAGATTTGGGCTCGAGAGACAATTTGAAGAGAACCAACAAGAATTTTCAGGATGTTTTTGGTATATTCATGTAGTTTTTAAAAAACATGACAATATCAAGTAATCCAGAGTATTCAAATTACATTACTCACTTAAGTAGCTTAATGGATTTCGTTACAAACTACATTTTGGGATATATAATCTGTAATCTGTAGGGGAATATGTTTTAAAAGTAACCTTCCCAACACTGCCTACACACCACAACTGAACAAAGCCGAGTCACCGTGAATGCGACAAACAAACAAAACCACTGACCCATCCAACTGTTGTGTTTCGTTTAAAGTCCGGTGCGGTTTATTTGTGAAAAAAGTTTGAAAATAGACCATTTAATGACGGACGAAAATACGGTAATTGCAAAAATCTAAATTACTTTGGTTTAAAGACTTGAAATGACTTGAAGCTCAAAGCAGACGACTTGGACTTGACTTGGACTTATGGGCCGGTGACTCAAGACTCGACTTGGACTTGCCTGTATTGGACTTGGGACTTGACTCGGACTTGAGGTCAAAGACTTGAGACTTACTTGAGACTTGCAAAACAACAACTTGGTCCCACCTCTGCCGCTTACAGTCACAGTGTCTGTTATTCTAGGTATTTCTGAGCTATAAAACCACCTGTAATTGAATAAATATAAGGTAGAGCAGTTTAATGTCACACTGCAGAACATTCCAGGCAGAGAAATGACATCTCCATAGAAGCCGTTCATGGACCCTCCACTAGAAAATTTACGCAATGCATCTTTAATTACAAAGCTCTAACAATGAGTTTTTTGTCAATATCTTTCACAGTTCAGTGTAACTTCTTATAACTTGTGTAACCAAGCATCTTTCATCTTTCTCTCTTTCTCTGTTCTCTTGTGTTCTCCAGCTGCAAATGTTCAGAGCCTGATAACCCCAATAACAAAACTCTGGAGCTGTGGAGTCAGAGGAACATCACTGCTGCATTTGTGCCCTGGTCCAACCTCTCGGTGAAGGTAAAGAACATATGAGACTAAACGCTCTGTCAGGTTATTTCTTAATATTGAAAATCGAGCTCATTGTTTGTGTCTTTTTATTGAGTCTCAAAATGAAATTAAAGCAGAACTAAATCGCATTTTTACCTCATTAAATGTTTCATGTGGTGGTTAAATGTATGTTTTTTGGAACATGATCGACTCTGACCCAGGGAGAATTCTCTTGGGAAAAAACTAATGCTTTTAGGTTTCCTTTCTGTCATTCTTCCTTTCTCAGTTCTGTCGCTTAACTTACTTAGTTCTGCTTTAAAGGTGCAATGTGTAACTTTTCTGGTCGAGAGTCAGAGTGTCAAATTCTTTTCTCCATGGAAGGTTTCACAGCATGGCATTAAACCTTTCTATGTCACAAAAACCAAACCAGACCAAGGCTGCGTTCAGACTGCAGCCTGAAGTGACCCAAATCCGATTTTTTGGCCCCTATGTGACCTGTATCTGATCTTTTAATGACAGACTGAACGACACAGATCCGATTTTTTCAGATGCGACCCAGGCCACTTGGATATGTGGTCCTGAAACCGATACATATCTGATCTTTTGACATGTGACTTCAGTCTGAACCTCCAAAGTGCATTCATTTGACCTACACGTTATCAACAAGACACAAACATCACTATTCTGCGCTGAAGTTGGTGAAAATTGTTAATGAACTCCATGTCACTGAAGCGAAGCACATCACCACTCACCACTCTTGGCTACGTCTCCACATCCACATGTTCCTTTCAACGGACTTTGCTGCCGCTGTCCTACAAAACACCACGACCAAAAACCTTGTCCTTCTCCTTCTCAATCTCCTCCTTAAAACATGTAAGTTGTTCATGTTCTGGCTCCGGTACGAGAGGAACTTTAAAATCTCCAGGTGCTCAATGCTCGCGTCCATGTTTGAACTTCTGTAAACACAGAGCACGCTCGCTGCGGTTGACGTCGTCATGTCTCCAGTGCACATGCGGGACACTGTCGGACCGTTTAACGTTCACACTGGAGATCACATACAAGTCACATTTAATTGGAAATGTGTACGACCTCGCAAAAACATCAGATTTCACAAAAAATCTGAATTGAGTGTTAAGCCCTGCAGTCTGAACATAGCCTTAGTTACAGGTCAGATCTGTGGAGGGGCGACTCCGCTCACAGTCAGAACCAGTCTGTTTTTTCAGGCATTTTTGAACTAAGTGGAAAATGAAAAAGGAGAAATTCAATTTGTCAACTGGACAAAAGTTTATTTTGGCCGAAAACGTTTGGCAGCTCATCCAAGCTGCTTCTCCAGTTCTGGCCAGACACTGGTGGACTCTGCTTGAAGGGAGGAGCTAACTACACTGAAACTACTCTGAAACTAAAATGCCTACTGTATTTTCCGGGCTATTAGACGTGCTCTTAAGCCTCCAACCCCATCAAAAAATGACTGCGAATCCACTCGGGTGTCCCAGCATGATTTCAGTAAACTACAAAGCTGCACCACCCGCAGAACATGCAAACACACACGGAGCAGACAGCGTCCGCACAGCGAAACACACCCACAGACACACTCATCACTCCACGCCGACGAGGAACAGAACAGAGGAACGAACCGAAAAAGCGAGTGCAATGTGCAACTTCTAGACACAACTGAACAACTGAGTCACTGCGAACACGCCGACAATCCAGCGGTCCCAGACAGCACCCTCCCTACACGCCACAACTGAACAAAGCCCAGAGTCACCGTGAACGTGCCAAACAAACAAAACCACTCACCCATCCAACTGTTGTGTTTCCTTTAAAGTCCGGTGCGGTTTATTTGTGAAAAAAGTTCAAAAATAGACCATTTAATGTGCAACTTAATTCAGAGCGCCTAATAGCCTGTAAAATACGATACTTGTTTACAGTTTCTGTTTGTTAGCTCAGCCTGTTCAACTGCACTGAGCTCTGACCAGAAGTGAAGAAACAGCTTGGATGAACTGCGAAAAGTTTTCAACCAAAATAAACATTTGTGCAACTGACAAACTGAATTTCTCCTTTGCTGTGGATTCTACCTGGACGACTGAGGGATTTTAGACACATAATTGGAAAATGAATTCCTTAGTATTGAAATCAAGTTTGAAATGTTTGTATGGTGACAACACTACATCACACATACTGTCGTCAGGGTGAGCACATGTCCCTTTTTGAGTTGTCCTGCAGTCATTACAATGCATATGACCAAGACATGTACCTGTGGTCAATATTTATCATAGTTTTACATCAGTTAAGTGGCAGTTTGTGGGAAAACACTGAGAAGAAAAGTACAAAAATACCGGAAGTAACACAAAAACAGCTCCACTTATGTTATCAGCACAGGACATTTCATTCAAAATGTAGAGGCAATGTATGCACAAGAATGACATTTGTTTGTATTCATGTTAATAATAACTACTGTGTAAATTAGACAAGTTTTGGCCCTTGTTTACATGACGGTTGCTAGGTAACAGTTACTGAATGACCTCTACCTATGTCATATCTGCTGCCTGTGATCAACCAGGAAGAAAATGACCTCATCAAAATGAAAAAACTAGACTAGCAAAATCATAAAATTTCCAAGTTAAATTTCCAGTTCTACCAAATTCAGCGTTTTTGTCCATCTTTACAGATTGAGGTGGTCAGCAGAGTTACTGTTTAACATTGAATCACCTTACTCAGCCTTCTCTAAGTGTCCCCAAGACCTGAGCAAACACAACAGAGGACATTATATCATTAACTTTTCACTAATGAGTTTAAACAGACCTGGAAAACCAACAGCTTTTATATTACATCATAACATAACAGAGCCCACTTTACTGTTTCCTGATCCGTGTTGTAATGTTGTTTCCTCATCACAAACAAACCTGGACTTGTGTTTGGTTTCATTCACATGTTTAACACACAAACCTGCATCTCTGTGTTTTTAAACCCCAAACACCTTCACTAGAATCATGTGGATCATTTCAGCTCTGGAACTGCCAATTTCTACTTTTTACACCTAATTATTTTAGTTCTGAGCCCTGTGTCCCCTGTCCCAGCAGATTTATCCAAAACCAGTAATTTGTCCCAGTTTTGTACAAGAAATGTCCCAGGTGTCCCTATTTTTGACCAATCTGAAACCTGTCAACAGTAAAGAGATGCATAAACTGTCATTTGTTTAGGTAAAATGCAGAAAAACTGCTTAAAAATGATCAAAACACAAAGAAAATGTGACTAAACTGACTTGCATTTTAGTCATGAGTAAATAACGAATGAGCTCAGTGCAGAACAGTTTTCCTTAATTATGCACTTGTTTCATAATTTTATTATTACCAACAACTTCAAGTCAGGAGTTTCCCAGTTTTTGATTTAGAAAATTTGGTCACCCTAATTCACGTGAAACAAAAACTGACACAAAGTTCAACATTATTATGACATTATTCATAGAGCCATCATTGTTGTCAGCTGAAAGAACTTTAAAGGCCCTGTATCTGACTTTTTCCATGTATTTAGAGTTAAGCCCAATTTATGTTGTGTGTCCTTTACCCCCCTCCTCAGAGCGTGTGCATCGACTGATGTGCACGACGCAGACAGCAAAGGAAAGTGACAGACAATAAGGGCTGTGATGGTCTCTGCATCACAGACATTTACAGTACTCTGCTTTCCCGCTTCATTTTGTAACAGGAACGCTATTTTTAAATCCTAGCCCCCTGGCATTGTGATGGTGAATTACTTTGTGAGCCTCAATAGACCTCAACACAGATCCATAAATCAAAAATGATAGCGACAAGGCAACAGCGACAGTGTGTGTTGAGTCGATGCAGAACTGTAATTGGCCCTTTAGTGTCTTACCCCAGTACAGACTTATCGTATAAGCAGCTCTTGAGGTCAGAATAAGTCTGCTGTGTCCTGTTTGCATGTAATTAAAAAGCATTTTACTGTCCCATAGCGCATGTTAGCATGCTAGTTATTGTTAGTTTTACTGTGACAGCTTTACTGGTCTCTGAAAGTTGTGGAAAGTGCTTTAGTACGTAAGTAAGTAAGTTTTTATTTATATAGCGCTTTTCACAAAGACACTTTACAGATCATTATTCATTCACTCCAGACCCAGTGAAGGTAATCTAGTATTGTAGCCACAACTGCCCTGGGGCAGACTGACAGAAGCACAGCTGCAAATCTCCACCATCAGTCCCTCCGACCACCCCTAGCACGCACACACCACTTTTATACTAGGCAAAGACACAACAACAGGTTTTTTCCCAGTGGTCTCCCATCCTGACCAGACCCGACCCTGCTGAGCTTCTGAGATCTGAAAGGATCAGGCTTTGACAAACCTGTATGACCACAACTAGTCCTGCTTTCCACTTTTTTAAGACAGTAAAAATCAAGTACAGCGCTTTAAGCCACAAAATCAAGATGGTAAGTTTATGAGACCAATTCTTAACAATGATTTGGCTCAACATATGAAGGATTTCTGTTTGGATATTTCTTTCAAAAACAGTGCATCACCCATAGAGTTCAATAGGACAGTGGAATGTTTACATTCAGTCTAACTTCATGAACACTTACACTGCAAAAACTCAAACCTAGCCAAGTTAAGATTACTTCAGTTAAGAATGTTTTATCATGATTTGAGCACATTTCAGCTGCAACTAAAGTAAACTTACCTGCCTTTTTGTGCTTAAAATATACAGCTATAGGCTACATTACAGGTCAGATCTGTGGAGATGTGACCCCATTCAAAGGGAATAGTTGTATTTTTGAGCAGTAAATACATTCATAATGGATAAATGCTAGATGGATGGATGTTTAATGTCATACCATGGAACATTCCAGGTTAAGCAATAACATCTCCATGAAGAAAAGTATCAGACAGACACTCCACCAGAACAGTTCACAAAGCACCTTTAAGATAAGAAAAACAACAACTCTTTACACTTTAAACAAGAAACAAAATTGAACGTTGCTTGAATTAAGAAGAACACTCTTATTCCATTGGTAGATCATTTTCATCCATACTCTTAATTCTTTGTGGCATGTTAAAATAGTTCAGGAAAAACCTTGTAGAACTTTGCCTCTGTGTATTTTGAATCAAAGGAGTGAAATATAACAATAAAGTTTTACTGTGTGTTGTTTTACAGGAGTGCCTGGGTCTTCACGGGCAGTTTGTGGGCACCGCCTGTGGGCACCATGGACCCTACACGCCTGATGTGCTCTTCTGGTCCACCATCTTGTTTTTCTCCACCTTCTTCATGTCGGCATTCCTCAAACAATTTAAAACCAGCAGATATTTCCCAACCAAGGTAAATTACACTGTTTACAGCATATCCTATAGTGGCACTCCCAAAAGGTTCTTTGACTGCTTCATTTTTCGGACTATAAGGCACTTAAAATCCTTTAATTTTCTCAAAAATGGACAGTGCGTCTTATAGTCTGGTGTTCCTTACGTATTAATTCTGGTTGTGCTTACTGACCTCGAACCGATTTTATGTGGTACACAGCGCTCAAAATTCTGTCAAAATGTTTTAGTATGACTTTGGTAAACTACGAAGCTGCACCACATGATGGATTGTTGGAGCATTATGGCCAATGTAGTCAGGAACCTCGCGGAGTAAAGTGCAAAGTATAGTTTGGCATCAACTCAACCCACACTGCCTCCATTGCCTTGTCACAGAAAGAACACATATATTCCACTGAGTCATGTCCTTTCATCCGACAGAAGCTGAGCTGCATCAGCGCACAAGGAGCGAGCTACTTTTTTCAGTGCTTATAGTTTATGCAAATGAGCCATGTGGTTTTAAGTTTTGTTTCTGTAAAAGGTAAACAAATGTGGCAAAGCTGCATTAAACACATTTTTACTAAATGTATATTTGAGTCATCCTTGTAGGAAATAAAAAACTAACTTAAATGATCCACCCACATTCACATTCATGATCCATATTCACCAAGACAGGGAGCCAACGCTTGGCGGTTTCATGCCACGATCTGCCAATGGATCGTGGATGCCTGGACTAAGGATCATTTTCAAGTGTCGTCCGTTTGTTTCTCTTAATGCACTTTACAATTCAGTGCACCTTATGTACGAAAATAGACAAGAGAATTCAACATTATTGATATTGTGCCTTATAATCCAGTGAACCTTATAGTCTGAAAAATACGGCACATACTTTTTGAGTAGAATAAAGTATAGACAGTGGCGAAGTTAGCAAGTTGAGGGCCCTAGGCAAACATGAGTTTAGGGCCCTCACTATAATGCACCTTTTTTTTTTTTAAATATATATTTATTGTCTGTTTTTCCCATTGTTTTTGGGACATGCACATCTCTATTTATTTGAATTAGTGGATTGGAAACTTAACTTATTAGTCAGGTACCCTAGAACAAAAGTAGATTTAGTTTTTTGCTACCACAATTGCATTTTTGTTTACATCTATTACATATGATTATTACTATTTTTCTTATGATAATTGTTTAAAAGTAAACTAATCTCATTTAATGTCATATTGAGAGAAAATCAAATTGCTCTGAGGCCTCGGCCATTAGTGACACTGCGAGCAACTGGTTGGGAGCCCCTCCATTTTTGGGGCCCCTATGCAGCTGCCTACTTTTGCCTAGTGGTAGCGCCGCCTCTGAGTACAGGTCTTCTCGCCCAGATCATCTGGAAAAAAGAAAAAAACAGGCAACAGACAGTAACATAATGGAGACTTCAAAAGTAAAATAGTAAAATAATAATAATAATAAATTCATAAAAGACTGTGTATTTGTCAGGTGCGGTCGATGATCAGTGACTTTGCCGTTTTCATCACGATCCTCACCATGGTCATTCTGGATTACATCGTTGGAGTTCCCTCACAGAAGCTCAAAGTGCCCAGTAAATTTCAGGTGAGAACAAGAGAACATCTGTTCACCAGAGTCCGTTATCAGTATGTCCTGTGTTCTACTCCGCTCTCTCTTGTGTGTGCAGCCCACTCGAGATGACCGCGGCTGGTTCATAAACCCGATCGGGCCGAACCCCTGGTGGACGGCTCTGGCAGCTGCCATCCCCGCTCTGCTCTGCACCATCCTCATCTTCATGGACCAGCAGATCACCGCCGTCATCATCAACCGCAAAGAGCACAAACTCCTGGTACGAGCACAGAGAGTGTATAAGCAGAGAGTGTATAAGAGCACAAAGGCGGTGTTGGGGAGTAACAGATTACATGTACGGGAGTTACGTAATCAGAGTACAAATTATGAGTAACTGTATTCAGTTACAGTTACTGTTTCAAAGAGTGGTAATTGGATTACAGTTACTTTATTGAAATAAATAGATTACATATATTATAGATTATAGATTAGGTCTAAAACAGGATTTAACAGGACAAAATCATGCTGCATGGACCGTGTGTTCTCCTCGTCTTCTATCAATAATATTTTTAATATGGTTAACTAAAGTCTGGGCTTTTTTATTGTCTTTTAGCAGACAAAACATCTTATGTGAAGATTTCCTCATCTTTGCTTCTCTACAGCAAATCAAGTAATCCAAAGTATTCAGATTACGTTACTCACCTTAAGTGATTTAATGGATTACGTTACAAACTACATTTTGGGGCATGTAATCTGTAATCTGTAGGGGAATACATTTTAAAATGAACCTTCCCAGCACTGCACAGAGGGTATAAAATCACAGAGTGTATACGAGCACAGCGCGTATAAGATAGGCATGTCCAAACTGTGGCCCGGGGGCCAAATGCGGCCCTCAGACAATTTTTTCTTGGCCCTCAGACTTCCAGGTGAATTGGCCCAAATTACCTCGCATCAATTAAAAATGATTATTTTTTTTTTTTTTACAGCAAGTTTTTTGAAAATCTACCTTGATAAAGCAAATATTTAATATTTAGGGGTTTAAGGATCTTAGCATGAATAAAGTCTGATGGCTCATTCTAACATGTGCATATTTCAATTATTCACTGTATTGAGCACCAGTCCATGGCCCTCGATCGGCCCTCTGCTTCACCTCTGTTTAGATATGTGGCCCTTGATGAAAAAAGTTTGGACACCCCTGGTATAAGAGCACAGAGGGTATAAGACCACATACGGTGTATCAGCACACGAGGGTATACAAGCGCAAAGGGTATAAAAGCACAGAGGGTATAAAAGTGTGTTTTTATGACCAAAATACTTGGAAAAAAAAAAAAAAAAAGAATCTTACTTTTGGGTAAATGTAAAGAATGAAGTGGCGTCTGAATAATGACTTGGTTTTGGTTTGGAAGCTTCTCTCTCTTCATTTTCTTCATTTTTGTTCTGTTCCGTTTGCTTGTTTATTTTATTTTAGCTGGTTGCATTTTGTGTTCTTGTGTTTTCCCACAGAGTGTATTTATTTCTTCTTCATGTATTTGGTAGGGACAGTGCATATTAATGAACATCTGTCACGATTACAGTGTCAGTGTGCCAATATGCTAATCTCCATCTGCTGACCCGTGCAGGCAGGTAACACTGTTGTAAATGCAGCACTTTGGGACTAAATAAGACCACTGCGCACTGTCTGTAGCCAATAATAATGAAAGCAGTGCACTGATTGGCCTGGGTCCACACCAGAAAGCTGTTCTAAAGCTGTGAACACGCAGCAGAAATAACACATGTAGATACTAACATATTTACAGAACCACGCAGAACTGTCCAACCAGAAAAGATAGAAACTTACTTTTATTTTCTTGAAAAGCTGTGAGTTTCAGCTTTCTGAGCATATTTCTGGCATTATCCTATGTCACACACACTTTGGATGATGACGTAGAGCAGGGGTGTCAAACTCATTTTGGTCCGGGGGCCGTATCCAACCTACTTTGATCCTAAAGGGGCCGGATCAGAAAACTCATGGTCATATAAACCCCAAAAACAGCAATAAGTTCAAATATTTGTGCAGAGAAATGCAAATCTATTACAGAAATCTTTTTTAATTGATGAACTCTTTCTTTTACAAAATATTATAATATTATGAGAAAAAATGCTATTTCAACACAATGTTTTAACATGAACTTGTTTGCAAATAGGAATAAGTCAGTTTTTCTTGGAAAATCCTGCACTCGGCTCCACTTTTCTATTTTTGACATTTTGCTGATGAGGCTGTCACGGTCAACAGTCAAAACGATCGTCCTTTAAGAGCGTTTGGAAAGAGACAAGTCTTCATTTGTGCTGCTCTGGTGGGAGGGGCCATGCACAGAGGCTCTGGAGACGCTGCTGTGATAAACACCACAGACAATGACCAATATTTTAAAAGAAAATATGATAAAAATATTTTAGTAGAAAATCAGCCAAGGGCCAGATTAAAGGTCTTGGAGGGCCGGATCTGGCCCCCGGGCCTTATATTTGACACCTGTGACGTAGAGAATACCAGTGTCCAATAGCAACATTGTTGTCTGTCAACCTCATGCGCTCCGTCCATTTTGATTGGGTCAAACTTTGCCAAAGAGTGTAGTGAGTCAAAATGGTCGATGCTCTGAGCGTCTGTGTTTGTAACAATTGAAAAAGCCGCTCTAAGTGCACTTATTTCTCAAATAAATGACAAATTAGTAGTGATGGGCAAATGAGACGGAGCTCTGGAGCATGTCTCGTTCTTTCTGAAACAAATTGCTCTGAGGCACTGCCTCGGAGCTCGTCTCGCAGCAGCCGCTCACGTGACCAAAGTGTGGAAGTGTCGGTCCCTCCCCCTACTGCTTCGATCTGCGTGTCAATCGCTTCAGTGTGTCGAAGCGTTTCATTGGCTCAGTGAATGTTCCGCTCTGCGATTGGTTCAGAGTGCTTCAGAGTGTTCAGCGCACTTTCGTGGTTTGACAAGCGCTATACTGCTACATTGTAAAAGATGCACTAATATTTCTTAAAAATGTTGGGTAGTGAGGAGTATTGTGTGACGTTAGTGGTATTTTTGGCATCTTTTGGTGACTTTTGGCATTTGTTTCATTTTCGATGGCATCTACAAGTGGAAAAAAGCAATCCATGGTTTGGGATCACTTTGATCTAATTCCACCTAACAAGGTCACCTATTTTCTTATTTACAGCATGCTGTTTATGTTGCTCTTTATATATTATTTTAAATCATCATTATTATTGTTGTTGTTAGGTACGGTGTCGCTCTGCACACAAGTATTGTCTTACACTAATAATACTTCATCGATGCTGAGACACCTGTGTGACAATGGTTAAATTTGTCCACTAGAGGTCAGTGTTTCTCCAAGGCCTCAGACACGTCCAACCATTTGAGACAATATTGCGAGGTGAGGTGTCAATGCTTCACAAGGCTCCATTCGCCCATCACTACAAATTATGCATCTTTTACTTACAGACTTGATATTTTGCATTACATTAAGCATTTTTAGGTCCAAAAAGTTGTTTATACATGCTGCAGATTTAAATCCCTTCTTCCTCCTGTGTGAAAAACAAATATTCAAATATAATAAATATAACAAATATAAACATCTACATGATTTGAATCTTGTACTTGTGTGTTGGACTGTAAGACCATGTTAAGTGAATGGTTTAAAAGTTAATTCTTCTTCCTGTGCTTGTTGTTGGGTTGTTGCAGAAGGGCTGTGGGTACCACCTGGACCTCCTGATGGTCGGGGTGATGCTGGCCGTGTGCTCGGTGATGGGTCTGCCCTGGTTCGTGGCGGCCACAGTCCTCTCCATCACCCACGTCAACAGCCTGAAGCTGGAGTCGGAGAGCTCTGCCCCCGGAGAACAGCCCCGCTTCCTGGGCATCAGGGAGCAGAGAGTCACCGGCCTCTTCATCTTCCTCCTCATGGGCTGCTCCGTCTTCATGACCGGAGCTCTGCAGGTGAGGAGGAGGGGCAGCAAATCATAGAGAATTATGGGGAAAATGGGGAAAAATTAATCATGAGCTGATCCCCGTGAGGATATTATAGCTTCTCTTTTCAAAGGAACTGAATATAAGATTTTTATTTTAAATTTCTTAAAAATGAGCTATCTGTGTCCCAAGATACAAGGTAAACATGTTCAAACTGAATCTAGTTCTTCTTTGTAATAAGAACTTTAAGAACTAATCCTGATTTATTCTTGGTGACAAAAACACTGGACATGATGGGCAAGCTCTTTATAATTTGTATTTATCCAACCAGATCTGAATGTTTACTCCCTAAACCTCAGAACCTGCACTAATCCTGAGTCAGTGCTAGTGCAGCCTCTGCAGCTCAGGGAGGGAATTCCGGAGGTTCTGAGCTTCACATGAGACCTGAACATAAACTGAGAATAAGACACATTTGGATGTGTCTCTATAATGTTCAGTTGTGATTATAGTTTAGATGATACTTTCTTTAAAAACAGTAAGAGTACAGACTGCTACAGGTCCAACAGAAGGTGTTTGGTACATTTCAATAAATTATTGTAACAGTCAAATGATAAATGGTCACATTTTTATACAGCACTTTTCCACCTTCAAGGCTCAAAGTGCTTTACAGCAAGGAACGATTCACACTTTCACACACACACACACACACACACACACACACGCACACGCACGCACACACACACACACACACACACCCCAGTGTACTCAGACACTAGGGGTGGGTTAAGTGTCTTGCCAAGGACACAACAACAGCATTTATCTGTGGGAGCTGGAATCAAATTTCATGTGGAGAGCAGGATTCGAACCGTGGACAAACACTCTTACCAACTGAGCCACTGTCACCTGTGATTACTGAATTCTTGAAACGTACTAACTACATGAAGTGTGATCAGATTGATCAAACTGTGTGGCCATAGCAGCTTGTCAAAGCTGATCCTGTCAGGTCTCAGAAGCTCAGAGGTCAGCCCTGGGCAGGACTTGGATGGAAGACCACTGGGAACATCAGGTGCCACAGGAGGGTGCCAAGGGCCAAAACTGTTGCCTAGTATGAAAGTGGAGTGTGCATGAGTGATGGTGGTGGTTGGAGGGACCGATGGCGCAGATTGGCAGCCGCACTTCCTTCAGTCTGTCCCAGGGCAGCTGTGGCTACAATAGTAGTTTACCACCACCAGGTGTGGAGTGAATGAATAATGCTGTGTAAAAAAGCGTCTTTAAGTGTCCAGAAAAGTGCTGTATAAAACTGATGCCTTATTTTACTGTTACTATTCATAGAGTGTTTACATAAATGGACATACAGCCTGCTAGCCACTGCACTCCAAATAAGAAGTGAATCTGGCTCCAAATTCACTTCTATAACCACAAGTTTCATGAGCTTCATTTGACTGGAACCAAATGCTATGGGTGACGTCACACTCCATCAGGCCTCTTCTTTGTACAGTGGATGTCTGAAACCCAGCAGTAGTTTCACGTGCATAAAAGCAGTTTGTCTCTCATATGTGACTTAAATCTTGCAGTGAAAAACAAGTGAATGTAAGTGTGTATCTCTCTGGTTCTTGGTGTGAATCATTCTGACAGACACTTAATAACATGACCTCTCTGTCACGGGTCACAGTGTGTAGGAGGTGGAGCAGCAGTGCCACCTGCAGGACATATTTCAGTTACACTGGTAAAAGAATAAAGTGAGTTTTGTTCTTTCTTCAGTTCATCCCGATGCCAGTGCTGTACGGAGTCTTCCTCTACATGGGAGCATCGTCATTAAAAGGAATACAGGTACACCACACCACACTTATGTTTCATTCATTTCCCTTTCACTTTTATTTTCTGTTTGAAAAGTATTTTGCTTTCATTTCACAAACACAAACACAAACTCGGTTTAGTCTGTCTATCTAGGCCAAGTTCTAAAACACCTTTTAATACTGACAATTTGATTTATCAGTTTTATTTCCAATTTTTAATATTATACAGAAGAATTTATCAAATAGTTTTCAAAAGATGAGACAAGACTAGATATGAGATTGGGTCCACGAGAATGAGACAAAACGAGATTTGAACATAATATATAATCTTCATATAGACGGTTCAGTTTTCAATTTTGGCCTCGCAGTTTTTAAAATTTTGATTGAATAGTTTTGTGTCCATTCTAGTACTGCTTTTAGGAACTGTAACAGGTGTAACTATGGAGTAAGAAAGCTGTCAAAAATATTCATGCGCGTAAAATAGAAATCCGTGCGTATTTGGGAAATCCGTGCATATTTGGCTGTAGTTGCGCATAAAATAAATATTTGTAAACTCTCAATTGACTGAATAAAATATATTGTGTGTATTTTATCCATCAGAATACGAATTGAAAAATTACGACGTCATGAATTACAATCACGAAATGAAAATTTACGATTACGCTTTCATCAGTACGAATACGAATTCACAGACGGAACTTTACTGTCAAAAATACGTCATCACTTCACAGACATTATCCATCGAGCAGAAGAAACATCGATCAAGATCAAGACTGCGCAGCTCAAGTTTGTAGCAGAGGATAAAAACAGAGTAATAACACAAGAAGCTACAACAGCGACCAACAAGTGGGTTAATTAAAATCTATTGTAAAAATGTCTTGAATTCGGGAACCGAACGCTGCTGTATAATATTGTGTAGAAACACCTCCTTTGAACGGGAAATTGCACCTATATGTTAGATAACATAGTGGTAGCCAGTTGGCTAACATCCGACGTAAAGTTATCCCAGGGCTAATTAACAAATATCAGGTTCTCTGTATGTTTAGATTAAAACATTCACGGCTACAGCCACAGCGAGCATCAGTCAGTCTTCACTTCAGCTGCATTTCTCGCATGAAATGCCACCAAAAGTTCCTCCGGATGCTGAAATGTCCCAGTTTACGCCAAACACTACCAAACTGTCCTGGTTACGACGTCACAGCCAATGAAATGTTACACATTACAGTTTAATGCAGCTTCCAGCAACAATTAATGTTCGTGTTTACAGGCAACACCTTGGTATGTTTACAGTATTTACCGGTAAGTTTAACGTCACCGTGACGTGGATGGATTTGCTCATTATAACCCATTATAACTCATGTATAACCCATTGTCTGAAATGCAGCTGAGATGAAGGTTAAGACTGACTGATGCTCGCTGTGGCTGTAGTCGTGAATGTTTTAATCTAAACCTACAGAGAACCTGATATTTGTTAATTAGCCCTGGGATAACGTTACGTCGGATGTTAGCCAACTGGCTACCACTATGTTATCTAACATATAGGTGCAATTTCCCGTTCAAAGGAGGTGTTTCTACACAATATTATACAGCAGCGTTCGGTTCCCGAATTCAAGACATTTTTACAATAGATTTTTAATTAACCCACTTGTTGGTCGCTGTTGTAGCTTCTTGTGCTATTACTCTGTTTTTACCCTCTGCTACAAACTTGAGCTGCACAGTCTTGATCTTGATCGATGTTTCTTCTGCTCGATGGATAATGTCTGTGAAGTGATGACGTATTTTTGACAGTAAAGTTCCGTCTGTGAATTCGTATTCGTACTGATGAAAGCGTAATCGTAAATTTTCATTTCGTGCTTGTAATTCATGACGTCGTAATTTTTCAATTCGTATTCTGATGGATAAAATACACACAATATATTTTATTCAGTCAATTGAGAGTTTACAAATATTTATTTTATGCGCAACTACAGCCAAATATGCACGGATTTCCCAAATACGCACGGATTTCTATTTTACGCGCACGAATATTTTTGACAGCTTTCTTACTCCATACGTAACTCACCAAATTTTTGTCTAATCCAAAGGTAAATACACAGAAACAAATCTCACAAGATCATTTTTCTCATGTGTGCACCATCTTGTGGCAATTTTTGTGGCACAATATCCCTAATCATTAGTAATTAAATTTTCCAAACCGTAGCTTTTTGTCATAGTATCTTAACAAAACAGTCTTTTTTTTTTTATCTTGGTAAAAGAAACTTATCCAGGCTAAGTTGAGCTTTATCGAAATGTGTACAGCAACTTCAGTCTTCCGTCAGACTGTGGAACATTCAAGAAGGAAGCAGGTGACGGACTCCCAACCAAAAAGTTACATAGTGCACCTTTAGTTATGCATGTTTTAGTAGTAGTAGTAGTAGTAGTAGTAGTAGTTTTATTCGGTCATTTTGCAGAACTACAAAACAAACCAAAACAAAAACAGACTACAACTCCATGGATCATGATCGAAAGGGTTTAGGCTGAAGTAAAAAAGTACTTCTAATGCCAAATTTTATTAAACAATGACAGAATTTTAAGAAAGAAAAGCAGCGTATAAACTATGTATGCAAGTTTGCATTTACAATTTCACTTGTGACTTACTGTAAATATAACACAGAGACACAGAGACAAAAAATATACATTAAAACAAACTAAATTTAATGCATAATTCAATAATTCAAGAGCTCTATATGTTTCAAAATGTAACACTTTATTAAGGATTTGTGTGTGCCCTGGCAGTCACGTGACTTAATGTTTTGGCAGCCATACTGGTGGTCCAGGTTGGGGTTGATACGGAATATAATCATGACTACTTTAAACAGCGCAAACAAAATAAAACTGTCCGAAATTGCCAGCTCGTCATTAGAAAGACATAAAGCAAAAGTCATCCTCCTGATTTGCTGAATAGATCCCTAGTTCTGACGCTCGCTCTGTGCCCAACCTCTAATATTATGAATATGAATATTATTAATAGTTTGACCTCCAATATGGCGATATAAACAACAGGTCACGTGATTTTGTGACATAGACACAAAACCATTATACTCTTTTTTAAAGGTTTCTAGACTAAAATCATCACTCAGATTGTTCCTTATACAAACCTCTCGAACTCTTGAAACCTCTTTTTTTTTAAACTTCTTATGTTCATTTTTTAAAGATGCCAGTTTTGTTTTTGTTCATGGTTGTACAAACTAATAATGATGACAAAGACAACCCAAAATTCATTGTCTATGATTTTATCAAAATAAAAGTTAATGTTAAAGAAAATCATGTGTTTAGTTCATAGTCGTGTTTTACTTGAAGACAGTGGATCTAGTCTTATAGGTTTTTCTGTAAGATTTTATTTTTATATTGTTTTTTGAAGTGCACCAAGTTAGAACAAGTTTTGATATGGTCATCTAAAATATTCCTTAAGTCTGCTCCACATCTGTAACATGATTTGAGCTCTCAGGTTGTATTTGAGTTTATTTGTGCAGAACAGTTTTTGGATGTTTTCTGGGAGTAGGTTGAGTTTCACTTTAAATAAGATTTGGCAGGTTTTAGATTTTACCAGGTCCCCAAATTTCAGTATCTTTAATTGGCAAAAAAGTGCATTTGTATGTTCTCTGTATCAGATTAAGTGAACTATTAAATAAAGTTGAGTGTGTTGGCACAGGCTCTTATCTGCTTCACTTTTTCATCACAACAGATCAATACAGAGCTGACAGTCTCCTCTAATCCTCCAAAACACACACACACTTTGGGATTTTCACTTCAACTCCCACGAATGACTGTTTTTCTCTCTCTTCTGCCCTCTTATTCTCTATTTCTTTTGCCGTTGGTCTACCTCTCTTCTCTTTCTCTCCTCTTTTCCACTTTATTTTATGCTGTCTTATGCCATCCCTGTATTTTCGATGTTCTCTCTTCTTCTCACAATTTCTCTCTGTCTTTTTCTCATTTTCTTCCTCCATCTCTCATCCTCTTTTGCTCTTTTTCCCTTTTCTCCTTTTCCCTTTCTCTCTCTTTTCTCATTGTCTTTCTCTCTTTTTCCTTGATTTCTTCCTCTCTTTCTTCGTCTCATTTATATTTCTCCTCCTCTCTGTTTCTCTCCCTATGTTCCTGTATTTCTCTTCCTCTTTTGCTCTCCCTCCTCTCTCTTCTTCCTTCTTCTCCCTATTTCATCACTCACCTTTCTTTCCCTCAACAATCAATCAAATCTCTCTCCATCGCCCAACAATTAATCAATTAAAAAACTCTCTCTCCCTCTCTTCTCTGTCTCCGTCTCTTTCAGTTCTTTGACCGTCTCAAGTTGTTTGGGATGCCGGCCAAACACCAGCCTGACTTCATTTACCTGCGTCATGTCCCTTTAAGAAAAGTGCACCTGTTCACAGTGACTCAGCTCACCTGCCTTGTGCTGCTCTGGGTCATCAAGACGTCACCTGCCGCCATCGTCTTCCCCATGATGGTGAGTCTGGATATACATTGTGTTGTGTCCCAAAAAAACTGACATCATTTTAAAATCAGTTATCTTGAAACCTACTAAGTCTGGCTCAATGATGATGTTGATGTTGTTGGTACCAGATCCTTTAGTCATACATAAACAGATCCTTCCTCTTTTACATTTTTGTAAAAGAGGAAGGTAAAAGTACCAAATTCAAATTTGTTTACCAGTTGGTGAAGTTTTTCCAAATGTTGTATTGAAGCTGCACAGTCTTGGGTGAGTGTGTGCGAGCCATAGACCGTATATATGAGTGGACATAGCTAAAGTGTGCCAAATAGGAAGTTTGCCAGGAGGCTCTGCCTGCTCTTTCTGACTCTTGCTCCTACCGACTTACATTGGGATCTTGTTCTCTCTGTGAGCCTCGTCATTTTGGTCTTAAAATATTCGTATTAACGAAGGATATTACATGATTGAGAATTCTTTTCTGCTATTTTGTCCATCAAAAAAATCCTATTCATAACATAGAGCCTGGCTCCTGTAACCATGAGCATCATGAGCGTCATTTGAGCAACACTGAACGCTATGGGTGACATCACACTCACTTAGTCCACTTCTTTATACAGTCTATGATGCGAGCAGATTCCAAGATGTAAAATTACTTCTCTTTGGGAGTGAATGGCTCAACCTGAAAACAGAACAAAAATAAAATGTCACATATAATATTTTGATCTGTTTCTGTACATTCTGTGAAAATTTTGAAGTTATTTCAACAAGAATTGTCAAAATTATTGGCCAAATTTAATTTTTTTGGGACACCCTGTACATCATGATGGTGAGTGTGTATATACTGTATATTCATCATGATGGTGAGTGTGTATATACTGTATATACATGATGATGGTTAGTCTGTAAATACATGTATACATCATGATAATCTGTGTTAAAAGGGCTGTACCTGAAAACAGAGTCTACTCAGTGTAAACAGTTTGCAGTGGTCCTGCAAAGGTTTGAAGTTCTTCCTCACTTATCTTATGCATTCAGAGTGTCCTCATTATTTACAGTGATGAGTTTAGAAGCTGTCTTCATAATATTCTGAGACCAGAGCAGAGTTTGCTATCGTGGTAACAGCAACTAGCACGCTAACAAGCAAGTTGTGGACCTTCCTCCTAATAAAGTTACAAAGTGCACCTTTATGAAACAATTCTCATTATTTCAGCAAGATGATGATGTTGACTGAAATGTGAAAATAAAATCAGTTAAATATGGACACACGCAGAAGATTTAGCACAATCTGTGTCTTCACTTTACATCTGAAGTTGAATGTACAGAGTGTGTAGTAAATCTGTGTACCACATGTGTTGTGACCAATGGCACAGATATCCAGTCAAATCCTCCATGTTGTGTTTGTGCGTCAGGTTTTGGCGCTGGTGTTTGTGCGGAAGCTGCTGGACCTGTGCTTTTCAAAGAGAGAGCTCAGTTACCTCGACGACCTGATGCCCGAGTGGAAGAAGAAAAATCTGGACGACGCCTCAAAGATTAAAGAGGAGGTAGATCGATTTATTCATAAATGTGATCGTTATTCATTTTAGAATCCTATAATAATGCATCAGTCCTATGGCGCTTTTTCAGACGCTCAATTAAGCAGATAAATATGTTTGTTTGTATAAATGTCCACCCCTGACTCAGACCCAGTGTTGTGCTGGTGAATGGGCAGCGGTGCTCCAGAGGCTGGGAGATGATCACAGCCTTTTCCCTTAATACATGTACAGTATATGACTAGTACATGTAGTATGTGTCTACTACATGTGTAGTATATGTCTAGTATATGTCTAGTATATGTCTACTACATGTGTAGTATATGTCTACTACATGTGTAGTAGTATATGTACTATGTCTAGTACATGTGTAGTATATGTCTACTACATGTGTAGTATATGTCTAGTACATGTGTACATGTCTAGTACATGTGTAGTATATGTCTAGTACATGTGTAGTATATGTCTAGTACATGTGTAGTATATGTCTAGTACATGTGTAGTATATGTCTAGTACATGTGTAGTATATGTCTAGTACATGTGTAGTATATGTCTAGTACATGTGTAGTATATGTGTAGTATATGTCTAGTACATGTGTAGTATATGTCTAGTACATGTAGTAGTATATGTCTAGTACTATATGTAGTATGTAGTATATGTCTAGTACATGTGTAGTATATGTCTAGTACATGTGTAGTATATGTCTAGTACATGTGTAGTATATGTCTAGTACATGTGGTATTATATGTCTAGTACATGTGTAGTATATGTCTAGTACATGTGTAGTATATGTCTAGTACATGTGTATTATATGTCTAGTACATGTGTAGTATATGTCTAGTACATGTGTAGTATATGTGTAGTGCATGTCTAGTACATGTGTATTATATGTCTAGTACATGTGTAGTATATGTCTAGTACATGTGTAGTATAGTAGTAGTACTGTTGTGAACATGTAGCACTTAAAGAACAGCACAACACAACACTGTTCTGAGTCACATTACATCTAAACCTGTACCTCTGCAGTCACAGCTGGAGCGGGGCAGTCTGAGCCACATCTAACTGTTCCCCTTGCTGTTTGTGTCACAGGAGTCTCAGATAATGCTTCGTTCTAAATCCGAAGACTCCACTACAGTTCAGATCGCCATGGAGACGTGTAAACCTGCACAGACTCAAAAAGCACACGACCCCAGGTACACAGAGATAGTTTCTAGCTAAAAAGTCCATATATTTCTCCAGTGTCAGTATTTTGGCATGTACCTGCTACAGTGTTCCTCTATGACCCAAACTCACCCTTAACCTCTCCCTGTCTCTGCTTTCACCTTGATGCCCTCCCAGGTCCGATCCCTCTGACATTAATATCTCAGACGAAATGTCTAAAACTACTGTGTGGAAAGCCCTGAACTCCAGCCACAAAGACACGCACAGCTCCAAGAAGGCAAGGCCCCTCCCTCTGTTTATCCCGTTGCCGTGGTTACCTATAGCCTGTGTTGACATCTGTGTACAATCTTATGTTATGATTTGAGAGGCCTCTACATCTCTAATGGAAGTTAAACAGTAGCTCAAGCAATAGACTTTAAAATGTAGTCCTGCATCAAATGACTTATTTTTCCCCAAACCTCATCAAATCATGCATAAATATGGGCTTGAATGATTCTGCAAAGAGTACCTCACACTCAGTACAGATGAGTAGGCCTAGGTAACAAGTAGAAACTGTAAACAAGTAGATGTGTTAGTTTCAGAGGAGTTTCAGTGTAGTTAGCTTCTCCTGCAGACAGATATAAGGAAGTGTCCACCAGCATCTGATCACAACTGAAGAAGCAGTCTGGATGAGCAGCGAAATGTTTTCAATCTAAATAAACGTTTGTGCAGTTGACAAATTGAATTTCTCCTACAGAGAAATTGCCTGTCAAGTTAGATTTAGATATTGTAGTTTTCAGAGTGCTTTTCTCTGAGCGTACTTTTACTCCTGCTCTCTGCCTGAGTTGTATTTTTAACCACACCTTGATTAACCTTAATAGAACTTCAGCAAGGACTTAATAATGAACAAATGGCTCGTTAAGAATCATTCAAGCTTAGTAGGTACTTCATTAAGAAGTTAGAAGTTAGAGTTTGAGTATAAAGGGCACTGATTATGATTTTTTGAGCTGTTCTAATATTGTTTCCTCATCACAAACAGACCTGGAGTTGTCTTTTGTTTTATTCACACATGTTTAACACACAAACCCTGCAGATTCAGGCTGAGTTCTTCTCTCAAAACTACAAAACTACCTTGTGATGTCATTCAGGAGGTGCTCCACAGTGTTTTTAAACTCAATACAGCTTCACTAGAATCATGTGGAGAATACAAGCGGTTGAAATGAGTTTCCTCCACAGGGTGTCTGGGCGCTCCCTTAGAGATAGGGTGAGAAACTCAGTCACGCGGGAGGAGCTTGGAGTAGAGTCGCTGCTCCTCCACATCAAGAGGAGCAGCTGAGGTGGCTCGGGCATGTGTTCCGGAAGACCCAGGACATGCTAGAGGGGCTATGTCTCTGGGCTGGCCTGGGAACACCTTGGGGTCCCCCCGGAAGAGCTGGAGAAAGTGTGTGTGGAGAGGGAAGTCTGCTCGGACTTCGGCCCCTGCGACCCTGCCCTGGATAAAGCGGAAGAAAATGGATGGTGTTTGGATGATTTCAGCCCTGGAATTGCCCATCTCTGTTCTCTTGAAAAGTATTGCTTCGTGACATCACAATGTGGAACAGAGCAATTTGAGCTTTGGGGATGCAAGACAGATTAATAATAAAGAGTTACTGTATTTTCCAGGCTATAGGGCGCGCTCTTAAGCCTCTAACCTCATCAAAAAACGACTGTGCGCCCCACAATCCCGAGCGCCCTAGACACCAATCCACTCGTGTGTCCCAGCACGACTTCAGTAAACTACAAAGCCGCACCACCCACAGAACACACAAACACACACGGAGCAGACAGCGACCGCGCAGCTAAAAACACCTACAGCCACACTCATCAGTCCACGCCGACGAGGAATGGAACGGAGGAACGAACCGAAAAAGCGAGTGCAATGTGCCACTTCTAGAGACAACTGAACAACTGAGTCACTTCGAACACGCCAACAATCCAGAGGTCCCAGACAGCACCCTCCCTACACGCCACAACTGAACAAAGCCCACAGTCACACACAGAATGTGACAAACAAAGTCCCACTGACCCATCCAACTGTTGTGTTTCCTTTACTGTAGGTGCGGTTTATTTGTGAAAAAAGTTTGATAATATATTTTTTTCACGAATAATCCAGAGCGCTCTATAGTGCGGAAAATACGGTAATGTGAATGAAACAAAACACAACTGCAGGTCTGTTTTTGAGGAGGAAACAACATTATAACATACTTAAAGCTCACAAGATTGTGTAATTTAGGACCTACAATGATAACGTTTTAATGTATTTTATATCTGTGTGATGTTTTTTGTTTTTGTTTTTACAGGATTGAAGGAATTGAGTTCATAGACGAGTAAAAGGACGTCCGCCATCTTCGAAAAAGAACGAAGCTGCTGGTTTGATGGTTGTGTCCAGTTAAAATGGATGAAAACATGTATTGAACTTAGTAATACCTCTAATATTCACTCACCCGCTGGGATCTGGGCTTTAACTGTCTTATTACTGTATTTTTATATTTATATTCAGATTTCATTTTGTTCATACACTGTCACATTCCTCTATCACCTCTTTTCTTTACGTGCTCAAATTGATTTCAAAACTAGTAGCTTTGTATCCACGTTTTAAGATCATAGATATGGCTCTCAAATGTCTCTCACCAAAAATCAGTACAACGAGAACTCAACCAGGTTTATAAGAGGACTAAACCAGGTCTAACGTAGGACTACACCGACTGATAACTCCAAAGCTGGACAAAATAGTAAAAGAAAGAAAAGAAAGAAGGGGTATTATCGACTTTTTGGTGCTTTCTATCATGGTATAACGTCCCACACGATAATTTTACATAAATATACAAAAACATGATACAAAACAATACACTACAACTTCATAAACCTGAGGCGATGAGCGGCAGGTTGATTAAACAAACATGCAATAAAAGCTGACATAGATTAGTCTTTAATATACAGAGACATTAAATAAAAAAAAAAAAACAGATATTCCGCACAACATTAGAGCTCAATAGTGAGATGGTGACATGGACCACGTCTCATTTCTTTTTCCTCGCTTCCTTCCTTGACTCCTCTCCTTGATCCTCCATTTATCAGATGTCATACTCAAGAGTGAAGTGGTGTCCCAAAGAAAACCACGGAATGAAGGAGTAAAGAAAAGAAAAGAATTTAACTTTATCGGTGTCAGTGAGGAGTTTAGATCCTTGTCTCCTCTCCCTGTCTCCTCTGTGGAAGAGAAGTTCAAGTTCAGTTCCTTTATTGTCAATTGTCATATAAAATAACAATGAAATTACGTTAAAGAATCATACAGACAGCATAGTATTTTAAATGTGCATAATAGTGTAGAGCACCTCCCTATGACACCACCACGTAAACATGACACCCACTATGTGAACATTAGAATAAAGAACTAGTAACATCAGCACAGCAGCAAAGGGGCATCACCAGATCACAACAAAACAACCAAAAGAACTGGGACATCAAGGACAGGAGAGACAACGAGTCAGATGTGAATTTAAATATATTTAAATAAATGTCCTGTTGCAGAAATGGGTCCAGGGTCCAGGCTGTTGGCCAGTCTAGATGTTCTGGCGCGTATGGACCTGTATCTTCTTCCTGAGGGCAACAGGTGGAGCAGGTGGTGGGCAGGATGGTGTTGGTCTTGCAGGATGTTGCGCTCTCTCTTCAGACAGCAGGTGGTGTAGATGGTCGAGAAGGAAGCAAGGAAAGAGAAATGAGACACAGCCATTGTGATCTAAATATGTTATGTGTTATAATTAATAGCCGACAGAAGTGTAGTACCCCCTCTTTAATTCTTGACAGTATGAAGGACTATTTGTGAACACAGTGTAAACAGAAATACTCATGTTCTAATTCCACTCGGCCTCTGGTCTCTGTGCAGCTTTAGTCGGACACTGGCTCTGACTCTCCCATTTCTAGATTAAAGCGTGAGCCTTGGTTTGGGCATAACTCATAGATGTGAGTGTGATGGATCACACGGGGCCCGCTGCAGGGGCCCTCCATACAGAAGACCAGAGCAGTGCTAGCTCTGCAGCTTTAGCTTTACGTCAAATAAATCAATAGAGTTTTTCTAAAGGTCTCTGGCTCAGTGAACACAGTAATTCAACATTAGTTATGATTTTAGGGTTATGCACACACACACACGTACAAACACACGCACACACACACCCCCACACATGCACACACACAAACACACACGCACGCACACACAAGCACACACACACACACGCTGCAGCATTCTGGAAAAGAAAGCAGGAGTGTTGCTGTTTGCAGGAGCTGTGCCAGATTTTTATCATCTTAAAAACATCCAGAGGGATGGGCCATACCACAAATTTTGGTATTGTTACGATACCAAAGTACTTTTGAGGCTAATGTTTTCCGATACTGATACTGATACCAGTACTTGATACTGGTTAAATCTTAAGGGTGAAGAGATTTAAATAAAGTGACACAAAACAGTGAGAAATGTTCCTAACATTTCTGTCAGCCTTAAGATTTACAGATGCTAATGAGGATTTATATTTGCATAACAGTATCGATACTCACACTTGCACTGAGTATAATCAGTATATATATATTGATACTTCAATATTGATACTACTACCATGTTTTTTTTTTTGTTTTTTTTTATTTAGATGAATAGTATTTAGTAATCAACCATTATAAAACACCATTTCAAAAGGATTCAAACACAAAAGACTTGATTTATTTTTCAATAATGTGTACAGTGAACTTTTGATAATCATAAAAAACAGATGAACTCACTTTAATAAGAAGGAGAGGAACAGTAGTTTGCAGAGGTGGGGACTTGCAAGACATGACTTGGACTTGAATCAGACTCGAGGCTCTATTTTAGGACTTGAGACTTGACTTGATAATATCGAGACTCGACTTGTAGGTCAGTGACTTGGGACTTGAGCCTGTTTCTACTAAAAACAATATGTTTTTTGAAAATACTTTTCTCTTTACAGTTGATAAATGTGGTGCTTCATTTTACAGGAACAAACTGGAACATGTCTCTCACTTCTGTTACTTTGGATGGAAGTAAAGTACTGTGATGTGGTATCCTCAAATGTACTACAGTAATATACAGTACTCTTATATAAATATTCATATATAAATATACCATGACTTTTTAAATAGAATTTCTAAATCTAACCTATATTTGGTGCTTTGGTTTAAAGACTTGAAATGACTTGAAGCTCAAAACAGACGACTTGGACTCGACTTGGACTTATGGACCAGTGACTCGAGACTCGACTTGGATTTGCCTGTATTTGACTTTGACTCGGACTTGAGGTCAAAGACTTGAGACTTACTTGACGCTTGCAAAACAACGACTTGCTCCCACCTCTGTTGGTTTGATTTGATGTGGAGAGACGAGCCAAACTTGGAAACACAAGAGCTGAAGGAACCTTGTGTAAAGCCATAGAGCTGAGAGAGACTGTGGGACGTGGACCTGCTCAGATGGACCTGAAATAAGCAAACATAGAATATAATATCCCCACACACATAGAGAACAGAATGTCACACAATTAGAACATCAAATTCATGACTTTTCACATATTGCACATAAAATCATGTCCTTTTACAACAACACAAACTGAAACAATGTTTGACACTCATTTTGTTTCACTGCATTTCAGCTTTCCTGATGGACGCTCTGTCTCCTGTTTGTCTCCACAAATATGTCACTGCTTTGCTAGAATTTTCCATCAGATCTGTGTGGAGGGGAGCCCACTCACAGCAACAACACCGATTTTTCGAGATCATTTGCACACGATATAAACACCCAGGCTTAAATCAACTTTCCGGGCGAAGCAATAACATCTCCATGGAGACAAACAGGCGTCAGACACTCCACTATGTTCCACAGGGCATCTTTAAATAGCATAGGCTCGTTGATTCCCTTTAAATGTGTTGGTAGGTTTGTGGATAGGCGTCAGTGAGTCAATGTGTGTTAATAGTGATCCAGTGGTGCGCTCCGTAGAGAGTGTGTAGTGTTGTGTGTTCTTTGTGTACCTCAGCGTCCTCTCCTGCTCTGCACTTTGAATGAAAACAGTCAAGACGTACAGAAGGATACAAACGTTGCCTCTTTAGTTGCTGCATATTTTCTTATAGCAATAATGAACCCAGTGTGAGCCACAAATCCAGAGTTTGTGTCGGGACTGAGCTCAGAACTTCTACAGGTGATAGTGAAAGGCCGAACCACACAAGACTAAAGGAAATGTGGAATATTGCACAGAAAATGTAAATCAAACCCTGTTGTAAAAAGACAAGTCTGAGTTTGTGCTGCGGGTCAAAGGTTGGGTTCATCATTTTCATGTTCTCATCTAAGATGGACGACACTGTTCAGCATAAAGGCTACACCCAAAACTAAACCTGGACTACACCAAGGCCACACCCAAAACTAAACCTGGATTAGACCAGGACTACACCCAAAACTAAAACTGGACTAGACCAGGTCCACACTCAAAACTAGACCAGGATTAGACCAGGACTACACCTAAATCTAAAACTGGACTAGACCAGGACTACACCGTAAACTAAACCTGGACTAGACCAGGATTAGACCAGGACTACACCTAAATCTAAAACTGGATTAGACCAGGACTACACCGTAAACTAAACCTGGACTAGACCAGGACTACACCGTAAACTAAACCTGGACTAGACCAGGTCTACACCCAAAACTAAACCTGGACTAGACCAGGTCCACACTCAAAACTAGACCAGGATTAGACCAGGACTACACCCAAAACTAAACCTGGACTAGACCAGGTCTACAGCCAAAACTAAATCTGGACTAGACCAGGTCTCACACTCAAAACTAGACCAGGATTAGACCAGGTCAGGATTAGACCAGGTCTACACCCAAAACTAAACCTGGACTAAAGCAGGACTAAACCAGGAACTAAACCTGGACTTAAACCAGAGAGATGAGTTCTACGTATTTTGACCATATTTATCTTGTGTTTCAGGTTTTGTTTCATGTGGATAGGAACAGTATTTACAGAGATATGAATCATAATCCAGGTCCAAACCTTATGCATTCTGAGCAGCCTGACTATTCACCTCAACAAGCACTTACACCTGTCAGAGACCAACAACTAGCATGCTAACACACACTCCCTGATTCTCTGACAATATTTACTTGCTTAAATCCACGGGCCCTCAGCTAAACCGCAGACACCTTATACTACGATGTGACATGAACCCAACCTATGTCCAGCAGAGGGCGCTCTAATCCTGACGTCCCTTTTCCAGATGATCCTCTTGACTTGAGCCCAACACAAACACAGCTCAATATTAAGAAGAATGTGACCGTT